CTTTTCCTCTTGTTTCGTCCAGTTTGCTTGTTGTTTTGGCCCCTTTTTTTGCGTGGCGACGCTCCGCGTCAAAGCGGGACGGAGCGACATTTTTGTTTGCTGCCTTTTTTGACTGGCCATGATGATGCCCGCTTGAAACTGCCCTGCCGGCCGCTGCCGCGGCATGCCCGCTGCCGTTGGCGTGCGGTGCGGCGCGCGGTGCACGCCGGTTTTGGGTTATTAAAAAGCGGCTTCGGACGACACAGGGCTTCGGTGACTCATCACCAGCAGAGTTTGCTGTCATTTCCAAGGGAACGCAGGCCGCGCGAGCTGGGCGAAGCAGGGCCAAGCACGACGGCGGAGCAGGGCGTCGTCCTTAGCGGCTCTTTTCGGAAAGCTTGATGTTGGAGCGCTCCGCCACGCCACGCTCCGCCACCGCGCGGCGCCGCCCTAGCCGCCCTCCCTCACATGTAGATGTAGGGGCCGCCGTGGGCCGCGGGGGAGTGGGGGAGGGAGTTATGTCCCCACCACCGCTCCGCCATCATGCCGCACCACGCCACACCATGCAGTGGTTGCCATGGCCACGCTCATCTCCGCGATACCGCGACGCCGCGCGATACAGAACAAATGTAATGTGGCCTGACCGGCTCGCCGCTTGCCCGCCGCTTGCCCGCCTCACCACGGTATTGGCAGTGTCGCCAAACCGAGCCGCAATCGGCGAGATGGCGGCGTAGGCTCGGGGCTGCTCGGGGCCACCTCGAGGGCAGGCTTTGGTGTTTGGGGGAGGCGGCGGACGAGGCGGCGGACGGCGACGCGGAGCCCGAACACGAGGCATACGGCTCACGTGCATCGCGGTAAGCACCCCACGCGGGTACCTCTTGAGGCTCTTGAGGGGCTGTGTGTGTGTGTGCGTGTGTGTGTAGTCGCTGGGGGACCCGGGGGGGAGGGGGGGACCGGGAGGACTGATGAGGTTCGCGACCTCCCGCGAGGCCCTCGGGCAGCGGCGAGGGCGAGGGCGGCGGGGCCTGGAATGGGGAGGGTCGTCGATAGAGTAGTTAGCACTGCCGCCACACACACACACACTCACACACACACACGTGCAGGAGACAGGCGGGCGAACTCATATGTGGCCCTCCCTCCGGCGCGCCGACCAATGGAACGCCGCGGCGGCGAGGCGGCGAGGCGGCGAGGCGACGCGGGGAGGGCGCGGCGGGGCGCACATGCGCAATGACGGACTCGTGAATACTCGCCTTCCCCCCGGTCCCTCTTCAACACAATAACTCTTTCTCTCTCGCTCGCCCGGCCAGGGCCGCGGCCGGGGCTTGGCCCTGGGACGGGGCCTTCGCGCCGCTCCCGTTTTAACTGATATGCGCCAAAAGGGTCGTCTCCGACGCCTCTCTGCGCTGGCGGCGCTGGCGGGCCGGAATGTGGCGTGCGGGCCGTGGCCGTGCCGGCCGTGCGCACAATGGCCTCCGAGTGACTTTAGGCGCGGCGCTACTCGGCGGGCCGGCGGGCAGGGCGCTAGTTTGGCCGCCTCTTAATCCGGGCAGGGAAGGCAGGAAGCCGAGGAAAAAGCAGCAACACGCACAATGGACTCCCAAAGTATGAGGAATTGCCGCGATGACCAGCATGCCGCTGCATCCCGATCCATTGTCGGCCGCCAGCGCCGCTGGCAGGGCTGGCTGCTCGTTGGGGCCTAACTAGCCGTGAAGCTGCAGACCGCGCCCTGGCTGCGTCCTGGCTGCACCCAGGCTGCCGATGCAGAGCCGCCCACTTATTGACGCGGCCGGACACGCCGTCTGGGGCGCTGCTCGGTGCGCCTTGGCGGCTGCCGCGGCCCGGCTGCCACAAAACAAAAGGCATATCGCTGCGCGCACGCCGTGGACGGCGCATCATCGCCGCTTGTTCGCAAACAAGTGTCGCGGGGCGCGGCGGTCCAAAGGGCCCGGCAAAAAGCGGTCGGAACGACGATAATATTTCTCTTCGGAATTATCTCGCGCCACTGAGGAGATGACGCGAAAATAAACTGAGGGCGGTGGCAAGAAAATGACGACGGAGGACGCCCCCTCCCCCTTCTCCCCACCCCTCGCCTGCCCCTCCTCGCCCGCAAAGCGCCGCTGAAGTGAGTGGTGAGTGGGGCGTGTTTTAGTTTCAGTGGACATGGAGCACATTCAGCAGTTCATTAAGCCTTTGGACCTGAGCTCGTCAACGCCCCGAAGAAACGGCATCAGTTTAAACTCTGAACAGTAGCTGTATACTACATGACTAGTTGCTCTTACTACTATGGTTCCGAAGGATGACTGTACATGGTTGAAAATTTTTTCGTAAGTGAAGCAAGTTTGCAGTTTGCAGTACGCCTTCACCTGTTTGTTCAGACTTCGGTATATAGTGGGAGAATGATGGCCATGAAACAGTTTCATACTTTTTCCAATTTGATCCAAGGTTTAGTTTTTCATTGTTGTTTGTCGGTTTAAGGATGATTTTGTGGACCTGAAGCTCATTTTGAGGACCTTCGTACTCGGTACGCCTTTTTGGCGATCCCGCAGTTCGCTGCGCGGACGGCGTGCAGGGCAGACGGTACGGCTTGTTTGAGGGTGGATTCGATTCCAACCCCCATCAACCTTCAGCTGTACACCCATCGATCGAGAGTCAAACACACGCCGCAGGGTGGGAAGGGTTGCCGGATTTGGGCGCAGTGTGCAGAGAGCGAGAGAGAGAGAGGGAGAGAGAGACGAGGGGTGGAGAGAGAGTGTGTGTGTATGCGCGCGCTCTGTCCTCAAATTTGTAAAGGATACCCAAAGGAGCCGAAGGGCTTAAAATGTACGAGCGCCTTGGCCTGCCCGGCCCGGCCCGGCCCGGCACGGCCCTTCCAATGGCTGGAGGATGGGATGGGGTCGCCGTTGAACGAAAGCGCCGGAGACTGTTTGGTTTATATAAAAAATAAAAAGGGAGGGCGCTAAAGGGACGTCCGCGGACAGAAAATGAAGAAAGAGTAAAGTTAAGGGAGAGGGGGTGAGAGGTGAGCCGTCCCCGCGCCCACCCCGCACCGCCCCGCGCACCGCCCCGCGCCACCGCCACCCCTCGCCATGTGTGTACACATACATATACATCATTTATTTGCAAATGGGATGGGAGGGGCGCAAGGGCTACGCCGGGCTAGGCGGCCCCGAGGAGAGGAGATGGAGGGGAGGAGGAAAATGAAGGAGAAGTAGACCATCTCAAGGAATATCGATTTTTGCTTGGCCGCATTGATAGGCAAACGTGTGTGAGTGTGTTAGTATGTGTTAGGGTGGCGCTGTGAGGGCCTCGCCGGCCTCGCTAGGGCGGTGGGGGTGGGACAGACTTGACGCTCATTGGCTGTTCTCCTCGCGACACCGGCTCCCCCCTATCTGCGCGCACCCACACACTAGCAGGGGAAGACGTGGCCGCATGCAAAACACACACCCACACTCATGCACTCATCTTACAGTCCTTTCTTCTTTCTCCTCTGCCTCCCCTTCTTCTCTCGCAGCAGGAATGTGTTTGTTTTTGCCCCGATCTAGTTTTAGTGGTTCGGGCGACTCGGCCGACTCTGCATGGCGTGATACAATGCCCGGCCGCTCGTCGCTCATCCTTTGGTGGCAATCCGTAATGTGCGCTCGCGGTGCCGTTTTCTCTCTCTGTCTCTGTTTCTCTTTCTCTCCCTTCACCCCCCCCCCTTCTTTTTTCTTCCCTCGCCTTGCCCGCGCGTCCTCCGAAACTAAATAAATCATGTCATTTCGCGTTGTGTTTATAATGCATGTATGAGATTCGCCCGGCCACCCTGTCGGTGCCCCCGTTGGTGTTGGTGGGTCCTTGGCGTCCTTGGTCGGTACTGACACACACATCCACCCCATCCGCCCCCTCCCCTCCGTCGCGCCAGGTCTCTCCAAAACGGTTACTGCGACTCCGCAGCGACTTCCGCCCCTCGCGGCTTCTGGCGCACTCGCCGTGGCGTGGCGGCGTGGTATGGCGGCGTGGCGCGCAGGTTCAAGAGCCGCGCGGCCGCGTCGCGCGATGCGCCAAGCGCAAAACTCCAAGAGCCGAGGAGCCGAGCCATCCCGCCGGTTGGTTTTCCTCTTCCGGCATCGACTGGCGGCTAGGCGAGGCGACCCCTGAGGGGGCCAGCCCGGCCCGGCCGCGTGGGAGACTCATACGGCCGAAAGCAGCCGAAAGCAGAGCGCGTGAAAGAAAGGACGCGACGAGAGCGAGACAACCAGACAACCCGGGGCAATTTAATAAGATTTACCTCGGCCCCGCCCGCACCCCTTTCCTTAGGCCCTTCCCCGCGCGAGCCTCCCCACACGCGGCCCTTTTTTACGTCCCTCAAATCCCTTTTTACATCTGGGAATGGGTGAGGTGACAACTCATGCGAAAAGGGCGGCGGCGTGGCCCGGGGTGGGCGGCGGCGGGCGGGGCGGGAGCCTCGGGATGCACTGAGTCGAGGGCGAAGTTACTTCACCTCCGGCATACGACGTTTCCCTCGGAACCACATCTTGGCTTCCCTCGCGGTCTAGCTGTGTCGCCAGTTCGTATCATTTCTCAGTTCCCCAATATTCTACACACTAAAAAGCGTCAAATATGACCCATTGCGTTGGTCTCCACCAACGTTTAAACTCAAACATCCATTCCCGCGCGCGCGTCGTGGCCGTGGGCTCGACGGCGCGCGGTGGTGGCGCCCTCCGTGGGACTGCAATGGAACTGCGCGGCCGGCCGGCGCTACTCCCGTAAGCAGAGACTCCATCCGGGCGGCGCGCTACGCTTAGATGCGGTGGCTTGCCTCCCTCTCTCCCGTCGGCTGTGGTGTCCGAGTGGTTAAGGAGTTTGACTCGAAATCAAATGGGCTCTGCCCGCACAGGTTCGAATCCTGTCCGCAGCGTTAGTTTTTTTTTCGGCTTCTCAAACTGTTTTTTCAACATATATTGTGGATATCCGTAGTACTTGTACCCTCGAGTCGTTCTTCCACTGTTACGTGAGCTGACGGCGCCTTTCGTTTGTTGCAGGTTTCTCGGGCGAGGGTCGATGTTCGTATTCTCTGCGGCCCAGTTCGGCCGGCTACTGGACGGACACGTTGGGCGGCCGGGAGGGCGGCTGTTGGACATCGGTGCGGGAGACGGTGCGGTCACGGTGCGGATAGAGTCCTACTTTGACCAAGTCTCAGTGACTGAAATTTCCGCACCAATGCGGAGGATACTAGCTCGTAGGAAATATAGGTATGCCCTGGACGTTTTTATCTTCAAGTGTTTTTACAGAGCAATTTTTTATGAACCCGTCGCTTTTCTGGTTTTCTTTGTCTGTTTTTTACTTTAGAATCCTTGAAATTGATAATTGGGCAGATGACGGACCCTGGGATGTGATTTCCTGTCTCAATGTATTAGATCGCTGTTCAAGACCAACTGACCTCCTTAGACAGATTCACGAAACTCTGACACCTGGTGGCAGAGCCGTCATCGCTCTGGTTTTGCCCTATCAGCCGTATGTGGAAGTTGGTAAGATGGTTAATGTGTGGAAACTGGCAAACAAGTATTTGTTTGTTCTTTTTTTATGTATAACTTCTCTGCTTAGGCGAAAACCACGAGCCCGAAGAGCGGATGCCAATTCAAGGAAGTTCCTTTGACGAACAGGTGGAGAGCTTTATTGCACACGTCTTAGATCCCGTTGGGTTCCTCGTCGACAAGTGGACTCGTTTGCCGTATCTCTGCGAAGGAGATTTGAACCAAGCTTATTATTGGTTGTCAGACGCCGTGTTTGTTGTGAGAAAAGCGGAGGGTCTATAATTATTTATGAACTTCTGTTTGATGAGGCTTCCAATAAATCCCACCATGTGATACATCTTGTGTTCTATCGATCTTGTCTCATCCCAACTGTCAGTGTTACCGACTGTGTTTGAACTTGGCGGCACAGTAGCCGCTTGAGCCGCTCTCGGCCGGACAACCGAGCACTGCCACCGCCACCTTGAACACTGCCAGGCAGAGATCACAGTGGCTGTGGTTTGTTCCATCATCTGCTGCTGCTGTCTACTGACCCGCTGCTAAAAACACTGTAAATTTCAATAAACCTGGAAGGAAAAATGTTAAAGACAGTGAAGCAGATCGGACAAGCTTTGGTAAGTGGCCCTTTGAATGGCTTTCGCTCTCGGATACACGACTTTCCTTGATGATTGGACTAACTGCCTAATTTAAAGTATAACCTAATATGCACCAGAAGGTTATTTCGTCAATAACTAAAATGAATCTCACTTAGACCGTCTTGACAGTGCGCAGCTGTGCTTCAAATATATTTCAAGGCTGTGATGTGATTTCATGGTATTTTTTACCCTCCATGCCTGTCTTGCGATAGATCCATTTGTTGATATGGTGATTTCAGTAGCATCTTCTGTGCAGAGAAAATTCCAATTCCTTCCTTTATTTTGTTCGATATAATATTGGTGGAGGAAAAAACGATGCTGATTTGGCCTCATGAGCTGTTAATTACCAAACTTTTTTCTCGCACTTTACCTCAATAAATGCGGTGTTGTTTCAGATAAGAAATGCTCGAGGAGTGCAAACTTCATCCTCGACCCTTAGTGACAACTTGTTTGTGGTAAGCCAACTTTGTCATTCATTCATCTGCTTGTATATTTTTGCTTGCGTGCCTTTGATGCATTCTGATTATAGCACAGGGACACCGCCGAAGACAACCCTGACATCCCCTTTGAATTCACTGCTGAAAACAAAAAGGTATGTTTTGTGCAGGTTTAAGTTATAATTTCTGTTTTCACTTAACATATTTGATTATAATTGCTTTTTTTGAATCAGCGTGCTGATGCCTTAATGGCAATCTATCCTGAGGGCCACACTAGAGCGGCTCTCCTGCCACTCTTGGACTTGGCTCAGCGTCAACAGGGATGGTTGCCTATTTCAGCTATGCACCATGTAGCTGACATTCTCAATGTTCCAAGGATGAGGGTTTATGAAGTGGCCACTTTTTACACCATGTACATGAGGTATTTATTTGTGTTAAAGTTTAAACCAGCAAAGGTTACAATTTACTATTTTCTAAAACCTAGTAATTATTATTTATTAAACAGTGCTTTGATTTCTTTCTAGGAAACCCATGGGAAAATACCATCTTCAGGTTTGCACTACTACTCCTTGCTGGCTACGCAACTCTGACGAAATTATGAAAGTTATCAAGTCTAAGTTAAACATTGAAGTAGGTGAAACCACAAAATGCAAGACTTTCACTTTGTCAGAAGTTGAGTGCCTTGGAGCTTGTGTCAATGCTCCCATGGTGCAAATTAATGACGATTATTATGTAAGTATAATTTACTTAGAATAATTTGATTTTTTTTGTGAAGTCTACAGGATTTTACTAGATTGCTTTCTCTTCTCTATTCACAGGAAGATTTGACAGGGAAGGACATGGAGGAAATCTTGGAGGATCTTAAAGCAGGAAGAAAACCCGTAGCTGGACCAAGGTTTGTTTATATTCCTTTTCTTTCACATTCTTGGTTTTGTTTACACGGCCTGAAAGACAAGGTTTTAATCTGTTGTTAACTTTTGGCAGGAGTGGAAGATTTGCTTGTGAACCTATCGGCGAGCCGACTTCACTGAAGGGTGAACCCACAGGGCCAGGGTTTGGTGTGCGCTCTGATTTATAAGTATATGTTCCCAACATCTAATTAAATTATTATTTTGGAGATCAAAGTAAACTCAACCATCTAATCAGAGATGTGAGACTTGACACTGTTACTGGGCAGTAGTACAAATTTAAATGCAAGAGTAGTTGCTCCTGAATTGTTAATAATAAAATTGGGACTCCATGTACATTATTTAAATATATTTGAACAACTAATTGTACATAATTTGTTGCAATAAAAGTCCTACAATTTGCTTGTAAGTGGATTTTCTATTTCCTTCTTACATTTATTTCAATTGGAACTATGACTAGTGAGCCTCACATAAACAAGCAAATTTAAAGAAGAGGGCACCTGCTCTGCTTGTGATGTCACTGAACTTCCACACACTGCTCTTGTTGCAATAATTGCAAGTATGAGTACTCTTCAGCTGTGGGTAGACCACTAAGTACTACAGCCGACAGGGCACTGCGATTCAGATTCATCATGTTTGCTTCTCTCCACTTGTTTGAATCGACGTCGAAACACTCGGTGTTTGGAATTATGACACCTTGAAGAATCAAGGCAGACCAATACATATCATGTCCAACTTTGCACCGAATTGTCCAAGCTCAAGAAACTCACCATTAAATCCACCTATAACATAGATGTGGTCATCTAGAATCACAGCTGCAAAGTTGCTTCTAGGGTGCAACATATCTGGAATTGGCTGCCACATATCAACCATGGGATCATAACGCTCCCCTGACTTCAAGCGGCCATTACCATTAAAGCCACCTAAGGCATAGAGGTAGCCACGGTGAGCCAGAAGACTAACTCCAGAGCGTAAATTTTGCATGCGTGTTATGCATGTCCATTGCAATGTGCCAGGATCGAACACCTCAGCACAACTTAATAGTTCTTGTCCATTAAACCCTCCAGCAATGTACACCTATGTGGGGTGTACAAGATGAAGTATAACACTATTTTAGACACCACTTCAAATAATTTTATTTTTTCAAGATTGGTTACCTTGTTGTTTAGAGTGGCAGCACTCGCGTCAGACCTTGCTCTGTTCATGGAAGGAATAAGGCGCCACTGGTTCTTTTGAGGGTCATAAGTCTCAGCAGACTTCATACGAGATCGACCATCAAAGCCACCCACAGCATAGATTTCTCCACCTTGCAAAAATGATTATCATTCTTAAAGTGAAGTTAAATTCAGAGTTCCAAAAATCACACCAACTTCCTAAGTACCAATATTAAGAAAAGTCAACATGGAAGAAAAAATGCACATCAATTTCTAGTTTGACCGACCCAGAGTGCAAACACTGACGTAGCATCGGGCCTGATACATGCAGGCCTGCTCTCGCCACTCCCGAGTGACCGGGTTGAAGGAGCGGACCGTGTTGTGGTGCTCCACACCGTCGAAGCCTCCGATCATGTAGATGAGGCCGTCAAGCTCCACCAGGCCGTGGTACGCGCGAGGCTGCGTGTCTGTGCTGAACGACAAGCACCAGCGGTTCGCCCTGCCAGAGGTGTCAGCTGATCAAATCTTCTTTTTCTCCTTTTTTTCATTTTAATTGGATTGTTGCATTACCTGCAGTCATAAGTCTCGACTGAGTTGGTCGGGCTGCTGGCACTCCATCCCCCCACGGCGAACAGGATCTCGTGGGGAACGCGGGGGCGTGCCAACGGGTTCCTCAGGTCCACGTCGCCGCCCTTGGCCTCGGCGTCGGCCAAGAAGGCCCTGGCCGGCGCCAGCGCTTCCTGCAAGACCTGGGGACAAGCACACCAAAGGGGGTTGCAACTGGGCGCTGTACCACCGCCCTTAATGACATTACCTGGTCCTCTCCGATGGGCCCGTACTGGAGCACGGTGTTCTGGAGGAACGGCAAGGACGTGAGTCCGAACCGCACGCACGCCAGAAGATCGGCGAGGTGCTGTCGCCGCCCCGGGACGTCCCTGTCCACCCAGCGGCGGATGGCCTCGAACACCAAGTCCTCGCTGCGCGCGTTGAGCTCGTCGTCCGACAACAAGCGACACAACTCGCCCGCCTGCAGGTCGTACAGCTCGGCGCTGGGCACGAGAACGCCGGGTTCAATGGGCACCGCGGCTGCCACCGCCCGGGTGGCCAGGGCCATGCCGGGGCCACGGGCAAAGCCCCACCTCTCGTGCAGGATGTGGCGAAAGTGGTGCAGGATGAAGCGGCGCCCGCTCGCCTCCAGGTCGCTGCAGAAGTACTGCTGGGCGAAGCGGAAGATGCCGAGGCAGTTGTCGGGCTGCATCTCGCGCAGCAGGAAGTGGCAGCACTGCTGCACCACGCCGACCACGTCCAGGCGGTCGGCTAGCGGCAGCAGGCGCTCCACGTTGCGGGCCGTGACGCCGCACTGCCCCGTGTAGGCGTAGTCCAGGATGGGCCGCACCACGTCCGAGCTCGCCTCCGCCAGCCGCACCTGCCCTGTCCAGCGTAGCAGTTAGCGACCGCCACCCCCAAGGCGCCCGAGGCCGAGGCTTGACGACGACCCCGGGGTAGCGGGGTGCGGGGTGAGCGCCCGCGGAGGAGCGGCAGGCCAGCCCGCACGACGCACCGCCGCTCCGGGTTGCCTATCCCGCACTTCACAGGCGCCTGGGGCTACCTTGAACTTGAACTTGAGAGGCTAGACCACAAATGATCCTTTGCCGTTCGGGCCCGGTAACTGCCATGCTTGCATTGCACAACATGACATACCGTCCGTACAAAGAGCGCTTCGCTTGCTGCGCTTGCTGCGCTCACCTCGGAGGCCTCATGCTGGCCACCGCTGAAGCTGTTGGTGAACAGCGCCTTGAAGTAGGGCGACACGGCACTCAGGATGGCACGGTGCACTTTGAGGACCTTGCCGTCGGCGCAGCGGATGGCGCCGTCACACAGCTGCTGGTTGAGGCGCAGCTCGTTCCACACTTGGGGGAAGTGTGCCTGCACGAGGACTTGAGTGAGTGTCATGCAGTGTCGTGGTGGCTGGCAAACACCAGCACCGCATGCCCGGCATGCCGGAAGCCCTTCTGGTCCTGGAAATGTCGAGTGGCTTAGGAGCCAATGCCACTTCGCCAGCAGACTGGTTGCGCACATCGCTGTCATCGCTCTGTCTCCCTCGCACTCATGGGGCGCCCTGCGTCTGGTATAGGCGGGAAAGAGACAGAAGGACGGAACGCTGTGCGTAGTCAGTCTGCTGACCTCTGACCTGGACCCTGTCGCTGCTGGCCGGTGGGCACACGCACTTGCGCCGAGGGTGGGGATGGGGAGGGGGATGCTGGGTAACGCGGCCTCGGTGCTCCCTGGGGGTTGTGGCGCCCTGGCCAGCCTGGCCAGCCCCTGCCGCCGCCACCGCGTTCGCGTGCGCGTTCGCCGCCGTGCCGCGGGATGCCTTCCGCGAGGCAGCCAGGCGGCCGGGCGCCGTCACTTTTGGCACCTTCTTGTTGTGCATCGTGCCGGTCAAGTCCAGCTCCATGTCGCTCTCTGGAGGGGGCACTAAGGAACTGCATACTGAAGGGTTGGAGCCGGACTATTTGGTTTGGCCCAGTCGCGAGGATTGTGTCAATTGTTGAGGGAATGCCCTCAAAGGGAATGACCACCATGCGACGAATCGAGAAGTACCCACCGTGTTGGGCGTAAGTCGTGCCAGTCGTCCCTATGATTTGAGCCAAATTACAAGCAGGAATCTCAAAAGCATTCGGCCCTAGCGACCAACGACTCTCGCCCACATTTTCTGAAAGGAAAGGAAAAGTAGGGATAATCTTTTGGGATACGAACTACCAACCTATCATGTTTTATGTTTCATTTCTTTGCCGAAGCTTCGTGGCTTTCTTTATTGCTCCGTTACTCCATGTCAAGATTCGTTAATTTTACTTGAATTATCTGTGGTTTCTTTCTGAATACTGAAACTGATTAGCATCAAATTAAGTCCCAAAGTTTTGGGTGTTAATGTTGGCACTTCGCCTCTTGCTTGCTCTCTCTCTCCCCAGCGCGAACACTGTGAAGAGTTGACTGAAATTCTGTAACTTGACACTATAGCTTAGCGGTTCAAGAGCCGAAACATGAGGACCAGTTGCTAAATGGTGATTCTGTTCGTGTATAAATAAGGTATTCATTTAGCGTTGGTCATTTCTGATGGTAACTGTTTTAAGTGGGCTCTTGGGAACGTCAGAAACGTAGCAGGAATTCACCTGTTCAACAAGTGTCACTTTTGTCATGTCAACACGCTCAGAAACTCCTTATCATCCATTTCATTTGACGTAAAACTTTAAAGAAAATAGGGTTTAATCTATTAGAGACGCACCATTTCTCTGCTACTACTCATACGCCTGAAATTTTCTTTTCACTTTTGGACAGCAAGGTTATGTTTATGTCTTCAAACAATTCCTTCATGAATTATTACTCTGTGACTTTTTAGATGGAGAGCTCAGATATTCCGTTATGGCCAGCAAAACATTCCAATGGCCCTCGCAGAATGTGTTTCTTGTCTGGCGAGGCGCGTTGGTATTTGTGGCTTCAGGAGGGAAACAAACAGGCAATTACATCTTTGCGAAGAGATCTTCTGTATGATTCTTTATGTTCCAATGTTTTTAACACCTTCTATTGAGTTGGTCAGCTAGTTAATTTGTTTTTCTATTTTTTCTATTCCAGACTCTTGCATCAAAATGGTGACCTTCAACTTTTCAGAACTAATATTCCGTCAGGTACTTACATTGCCGCACTTCATGATGGAAGAATGATAAGGGGTCGAATATGCCCGACTCAAAACACGTAAGACTTTTTAGAAATTTTCATCTGTTGCTTGCTGTTGACTTCTTTGGATTATCATGTGTATTGATATTTTGCTCTCTATCTAGAACGGACTGTTTGAGGTATGTTACCGCAATTGATGTTGATGATGGCATAAAACTGAACTTGCCCTTGAGTCAAGTTCGTGCCCTCCCTCCTGAAATGAAATTGCTTCCATGTCAAGCAGTCCGTGTTGACATTGGTCTTGTGAGTGTTAGCTATGTGGTATTGTGTAGTTTCAATTGTCTACTTGAAAGTTAAACCTTTTTCCCAATTTCAACTTTTCAGGACTGTATTGAGCAGTTTGACTGGCCAGAACAACTGAATAACATGCTCATGAAAGCAATAGGAAAAGCTTTGATTTTTGTTGACATAAAATCAAAGCGGCCTGGCTCAATCCCTACCATTGACGCAGATGTTACAATAGTCAATCCTAGCACTGGCCAATCAATTAGCATACAAAAATGGCTGATTGACTGCTTCTCTCAGCACCTTGATTTATGTGGTCTAGAGAGGTTCAAACCATTTCCAGTTGGCATGTCAGCTGATCTTATGGTAACTTTTGTTTCCTACAAAAAAAAAAGTTCAACCTTGCTACATGTTTAATTTTTTTATGTCTACAGGTAAACAACATGCCAATGTTTCAACAGCCAGTTTTTGGGTTGGGTATGCCAGGCTCACCCTCAGTACCTTCAGGACTACCCTCAATCTTGCCATCTTCTGGCATTCCATCTGGTATGCCACTAGGTATGCCACCAAGTTTTCCACTTCCAATGCCACCTCCTCAAGCTGGTCCGCCTCTTATTATGACACATGGTATGCCATATGGTATGCCACCAAGGCTTCCAATGTCTTTGCCTCCAACAGGTGGGCGGATGCCTCCCTTGATGTCTCAATGCCCACAACCCTCCCCAAACATTTTCCCCACACCAACCCCTCCTGGATCCACCATCAGTGCAACTCTAATGTCATTTTCTGTAACACAACCAGCAAGGCCAGTGAGGTCAGCACCGCCTCCACCTCATAATTCAATGCCATTCAAAGATAGCATTCAAAGACAGACAAGCTCGAACAATTCTAGTACTGGACTGAGTGCATCGTCCTCTCTTATATTTGAGTCTGACTCCTCTTTCACATGTGACTCTGACTGCCCTCCACACAGTGAGAGCTCTGTTGGAATAGACTTGAATGAGAGTTTCACAAGCTCATCCTCTTTATCTGGCCCAAACCCCTATGCACTGCCTTTTTTCCCCAAAGACCAAACTCCCTCTGAGATGACACAATCTGGGAAGGTCGTTAAGTTGGAGGGATGTCCCAAGAATCATAATTCCCCTAGACGAGGTGAGGCCACATTTGTTTAATTTTCTACTACAATTAGTGTTATCTCACTGCCTCACAACTTTTAAAAATATTTTCTGTTTTGTTAGGTGCAAGTGGAGCTACAAAAGGTGAAGAAAGAATTGTAGGTGGAATGAGCTCATGCCTCAGTGCAGAAACCGCTCCAAGAGGAGCTGTTAAACTTGACCAAAGACATGAACATGAAGGGAGTTCTTCAGGTCTGAGTGCAGAAGCTGCTCCATTTGTGCCAAAGGTTCTCATAAAAAATACAGACACGGCTACTAAACCTGATCCTGAACCAAATCTGAATTGTAGTGCTGGCAGGAAAGACAAGTCTGCACAAGAACCCCATGCAAGTCCTGCTAAGACATTGAAACCAGCCATTGCATCTAGACACAGCAAAAGCCCAAGTCTTAATGATGGACAGACACCGAGCCCCCTGCTTCCACTCAATAGTGATGAAATCCGTAAGCCTGGACCTCTGCAACAATTTCCTAAAGGTTACTCCATTTTTGCATTGCTCATTTAATTTTTTTTTTTTAATGTTTTCTACTTTTTAGTTTGGTTTCTTAAGAGTTTACTATTTGATTATTTTTGTAATATTTTTATCATTTAGGTAAAGAGGTTCAACTCAAACAAATTTTAAGAGACTGGAAAATTGGGCAGGTAGTTCCTGCCTTCATGGCAAGAGTTTGGAATCCATCTTGTTTTGAAGTTAATGTCATTGATGACTTTAGTGGCTTGCTCTCTAAGTAGGTTTTGGCAAACTTTGTTCTATTATTGTATTTTCATTTATTTATCTATATACTACCTTCTTGATTTTTCTGTTCAGGTTGCAAACAGAAATGGATGCTTATTATAAATGTGGAAAAAACAAAATGAACATGTCTTCAAAACAACAAGCAAGGGATTTGTGTGGAGACTTTTGTGCTTGCTATGATGCTGATGAAGACCTCTGGTTTAGAGCACAAGTAAATGAATGGTTCATGGTAAGAGTTGCTAATGTATGACTGTTTATGTTATGTTTGCTAGGAACTCTTGTGCCTCATTGTTTTCTGCGTAGGATGACTCAGTGACTCCATTGAAAGTGTGGGCAGTGGACTATGGTGGATACTCGCAAGTTGACTTAGGTAGTGTGCAGCCTCTTTCAACTGAATTGGCATGCACAGCACCTGTACTTGTCACACTATGTTCCATGAAAAATGTAAGTATTATGAACAGACTTAAAAATTAACTGCAATGTGCTCTTTTCTGAACTTGTTTGCTTCTTTACCTCAGGTTATTTCTCGTCTTGATTATGACATATGGCCTGAAGTTCATTTAAATAGAGTAAAAGAATTGATGCCAGAAGATAACCAACTCTTCTTACGCATTGATGGGCCAAAGTCCCAAGATGATATCTGGCCAGTTTCTGTTTTCAAAGATCCTGACTGCTCCTTGCAAAGCATTAATGAAATATTAGTGGCCGAAGGCTGTGCCTATTATGTTGGTATGGCAAAAGAAAGTTCTGATGTCTCATGTATGTAAGATTATCTTCCCTCTTATCAATCCACATTTCAAACATAAAATAAAAAATAAGTTAATCTGGTCTCGTGTTTTTTGTGTTTTTTTCAGTGACTTCAATTTATGAAGATGCTGAAAATCCAATGGCTGAAGCTTATGAACTCGGTGCCAATAACTATGATATAGATGATGAAGATGCCTGTGTTGCTGTGAGTGGGCGCAAACCTACAGAAGAGACAGGCATTTGTTGGTTCTTTCAACGAAATGGTTATTGTTACAAGAAATTCTGTGACTTGAGACATGAAAGACTTGACCCTGGTATGTAAAACTCAATTATGTGATGGTATCATATTTTTATTATTACTGGACATTGCCCCTTTTTGTCCATTTAGATGGTCACAGCATAGCAAAGGAACAAATACATCATGACTCATTTGAGAAACTTACTGATAATGTTCTGAGCCCTGGCTCCCAGGTGAAGCTTACAATCACACGTATATTGACTGTAAATCATTTTATTGCAACAATAAGCACCAAAGGTAAAGTATATCCCCATCAATTATCAAAATGTTTTCTCTTCATGTGGATTTGACTGAGGTCCTATTTCATGTTACAGGAACTAAACTTAGATCCAGGGAAACTTTGAAATCGGTTATTGAAAATTTAAACACTACACACATGAAAAGACAGCTGAAGACATTTACGGAGTTTCCCGCTGATGGAGAAATTGTTCTTTACAAGGATACTACTAATGGAACGTTTTATCGAGGCAGGATTATTTGTGCGGACATGGTGGCGGATGAGTACTATAAAGTAATTTATTTTTATTTTTATCTTAAGTTATTTGTAAAACTGTTTAATTGCATTAATTTACATTATGTTTTTCATTTTTAGGTTTTGAATGTTGACACAGGGTATAAATTTAAAATACCCCTCAAGGATCTGAGAAAGGTTGACCCTGCTTTCCTGCACCACCCATTCCAGGTCTGACATTGTAGATGTTTGTTTTTTTATGCTGTGTTGCTGTTTTTGCTTACTTTATTCCTATTTTATCTTCAGGCAATGGAGTGTTGGCTTGCAGATGTGGCTCCTACACAAAGTGATAGAGAGTGGACCAAATCCTGCAATGCAGTATTTGCTGATCTTGTCCAAAATCAGAAATTGTTGGCTACAGTTGTGAGATCGTAAGTATCTATTCTCTTGTCTTCTTTTAAATCTGTTGCTCAATTTCTCTTTTGATGTTGCTTCTCATCTTCTAATGTATTTTTTAACTTCTTTTATGACTTTTAGGGCCCCTTGGGGTATTGAAGTTAATTTAATAAACAAAGATGGCCAAGATCTAGCTGCCATCCTCAAAGAAATGAACATTGTAAAGAGCTGCCCCAGAAGGCACCTCCCTCTTGATCTCTCCCACCGGTTTCCTGGCTAGGTTTGCAGATCTCAATTATTTACCACATCAATTGTTAATGTCAAAGGTCTTAATGTGTGTGAGTGTGAGTGTGTGAGTTTTCTTGTATTTCCTCTAATGTGAAAATCATCTAAAATTTGTTTTACTGTAGTATATTACTTCTTAATTCAGTTTACAATCATTGAATAATGTTGATTTTATTTTTATAACAAAGGACTCTTTAATTGTTAAGAATAAATTTTTGATTTCAATATAGTCCAGAGATTCGTAGGGCCCATCCTTTCTTGCAACTTATTTTGCTTGGGTTTGGAAATTGAATCTCAATCTGAGAACCCACTTGAACCTGAAATATCAGAGACCATCATAAAATGGGCAAATGAATTTGTTTTTATTAATTATAATTGTGCATTATTTGGAAATAAGTGGTTATCAATGTTACCTACCTCTAACGCTCCATAGCCGAGCATGGTCACGTTTGGTGCTCTCAGACGTGGAGAACCCAGTTTTAGAACATTCCTATCTGGCCATTCTAAAACTATTGCATACAGTATCTTACTGTCCGCACTCTGAGTGTAGCTGCAACATGGAGCAATGGTTTGACTCAGTTGGCAGCGCATGGTATCCAGTCCAAAGAGATGCTGTTAGAATGCACGCACTAGACGGACGAGGCGATAGTGTCGTTTGGGGTGCCAGCCGCCCAGGGCCGGGTGCGGTACACAGCCTCCCCGTTAACGCTGAGCCACTCGCCCAGCTCCAGCAGCCGCTCCTCTAGCAGCGGGGCGATGGTGCCTTCCTTGGTGGGGCCCACGTTGACCACCAAGTTGCCTCCCAAGCTGACCGTCCGTGCCAGCAGTTGCAGCAGGTCGGCCAGACCCAGGTAGTCATGCAGGGACGCCTCCCGCCGGAAGCCCCAGGACTCGCGGTCCACCGTCATGGCGTTCTCCCACTTCTTGGCAGGCGGCACATCTACAAGCCGCCAAGTGAAAGGAGTGGTAAGTTGAGGCAGTTTCGCCCATTTTTAGGACGCTCCGGCTCCTTAAGCCTTGAGGCTCAAGGCCACTCACCGGGCAGGTAGCGGTCCTGGCAGTTGAGGAAGTCGCCGTGCTTGCACTGCACGTCCCTGCCCCAGCGGTCGTTGGTCACCACGCTGCTCCTCACCGGGGAGTCGGAGTACAGCCAGGCCAGGAAGTCGCACGAGCGCCAGTACTGCGAGTCCGCCTCCCAGTCGCCGTCCGACCACAGCACCTCAGGGCGGTAGACGTTCACCTGCCGGCCCGGAGGGACCTTACTGAACAAAGATTCGCATATCGAAGGGAAACGGAGTCAAAATTTACCGCCATCTAACCAGTTCTTTCATCTCGGGGATGATTTTGTTGTCGACGAACGAGCGAGTCGTGAAGTTGTTTTTCTTGTCGGCCAAGTACAGGGGGTGGAACCATTCGTAGAGGGAGTGGTACAGGCCGAACGTGATGTTGGTGTTGGCCCGGATGGCGGCGGCCAGCTCACCTGCAGCAGCAAGTCGTCGTAGCCTTGGGACTTCCCCTCAGCCTCTCTCATCAACCGTAGGGGCAGGGTATACTTGCCGACCAAGTCGCGGTGAGGGCCCACGTCCTTGGCGTTCCAGCTGTAGGCGTACTTGGAGGGCCACAGCGTGAAGCCTTCGTGGTGCTTGCTTGTCAGCACCACGTACCTGTACAGTAGACATTCCAAGGTGCACCCCTTAACCCGTAACACCATCAGACCATGAAACCCAAATGTCTAGCTTACTTGGCCCCCGACCGCTCCAGAATCTTGGCCCACTGCTTGGCGTCGAAGAACTCGGCACTGAAGTCGGCTGCGAAGTCTTGGTAGCTGAAGTTTGGCGGATAGTTGCGTTTCATGAAGTTGACGTACTTGTCCTTTTTCTCTGGGAGGCAGATTGCGGGGCAGACAGGTCATGCTTTACTCGTGTCATTTCGACGACCCCCCCCCCCTCTCTTTCCGAAATTTTAATTGCCGTGTGTACCTGCTATCCAGTCATACCAAAACCACTCGCTCCCGAAACTGGGCACGGAGTACACGCCCCAGTGGATAAAGACGCCCACCTTGGCGTCGTCGTACCTGCCGGAAAACAAAGCAGCCCCTTTGAGAAGGTGCTCGCACCCCGACGGACCCGGACGGACCCCGCCCGGTCCTCGGAGGCACTTTCCTCTGGTCCTATCGGCACCGCCTATTGACACGATTGACTGTTTGCCTCGACGCGCGACGCGGCCGGGGCTGCCCGCTGGCCGGGTCCACCATGCGACACTGCTCTGCCAAAATTTTGGCCGCCTTTCTCTCGCTTCTGCATTGTCTCGTCTTACCATTGCGGCAGCGGCCGTGTGTCCAGGCTTTCCCACGTCGGCTGGTACCGGCTGCCCACCTTGCCCGCCGCGACGCCCATGGTGACCAAGAGCGCGGTGACCGCCAGCCACCTCCCCGACATGTCGGCGCGATGGCCACTGACCACGCCATCGGCCCCGTCGGCTTGGCCGTGGGGCGCACAGAGGCCTCTCGGCCACGGGCTCGCTGACGGCCCTGCCCGCGCAGCGCGCCGCGTCTGCAGCACGGCGGGGTGGGGGCCGAGGGACCGTCGCGGGGCTGGGCAGGCTGGGCCGCCTGGAGAGGGGCGCGGGGTCAACGAGTTGCCATTTATACAGTGACCTGCGGCGCGCGGCGCACCGTTTGGCTGGTGAGGCGGACCCGGCCAGTGCACGCGAGGAATGCCATCCGGGCGGCGCCTGCCTGCCTGCCTGCGTGCCTCACTGCGTGTGCAGAGTGGTTGGGGGAGGGGTGGGTGGCACATTGATTAGGACAGCCTTATCGCTTTTGCTCCTGTTTTCCGATTTTATTGTTTTCTACAGAACGCAGTACCCGTCAACTTGACGCGTAGTAGCCGCAAACGGGGTTGACGCATCTCGGAGTTGGTGCCAACAAGGCGTGGTGGTTGCGGTGCTGAGCCGCGATGCAGGTGGTGCCTGGTGCCTGGCTTGTCCTAGGCCGGAACGACGAAGCTCTGAAAAGGTCATTAATAAAATTGGTAGCAACGTCAAGCAACAGCTACACTGTATCGACATTGAAAAGGGGCGATGGATTTCATACCGGGTCCGCCTTCTTGACGCACTTGATGAAGAGGGCGGCAGTTTCACACGGTTCTTTGCCAGCTAGAAATTTAACAGTGATTGTAATGAACGGGAAAATTATTTTACTCATTTTAAATATGTGTGAGCGGTTGCATGTGCTTTGCAGAGCAGCAATTTGCTCTGCCAAAAATCTCCCTTTGAGCAAAACGGGTATTCATGGAGGTTCCGCTTCACGAGTGACCGAAATGTATTCGACCTGTTCTGAAAAATGTGGTAGGAAACTAGGAGACTGCACTGCAATGGCCGGCAATGACTGATGGCAGAGCGCGTACAGTCGCCGAGCACGGACGGGCAAGCTCGTGACTTTAGTTCTGCAACTCACCCGGGGTGCCCTCGCAGGCAGTGAAGGCGGCAATGGTCCGCGCGGCATCCTCGGCCTGCATCATCTTTTTCACCTGCGCCTTGAACATCTTGCTGTCCACCTTGTTGTTTTTCAGCTGTCCGGAGAGAAGTGCGTTAGGGCGGTTGGGCACGGGGCATTCCCCTGAATCAAGCTTGACTGGTTGCCGAAAGGCAGCGGATACTTACCACCATCGTCGTTTGCAGGAAGCAAGCCGTGTAACACTGCGGAAAAAAAAAATACTACCGTCCGTATGGAGCATGGAGCATTTTAATTCGAATTATTATTAGATCTTACGTAAGCTTTTTCGTCTTCAACGAATTCTCCGTTCTTCATCCTTTCCAGCATAGCTGCAACAGAGAAGCGCAGCTTTAACAATTTTAACTTAGGGAGGACTTAACGAAACTTAATATGTACTTGCTGTTTGTATCTCATTTTTTTACCATCAGGAAGACCAGCCTTGGGTTGGCAGACGTTCCGAAGCATCTTCAAACTCTTTTCATACTGCTCCTGCGTTACTGCCTGAAACAAGGTCACTTTTTTAAGACTTCTACTTCCAGGTTGCCCCAAAACGCCGAGACCTATGCCGTCCCACCAAACACACCCACACTACCACACCATTCACCCCTTCAACCCTTCGGCATCCAAGGAGAAACAACCGTCTCACAAACGCGCTCACGCATCATTTTGTTCAAGGACATAGCAGGATTTTTTTTTAGGGCAGCGCGTTCGGTGACTCCGGTATCTGTGGCCCAGCCGGCCCAGCGTTGCCCGAAACGACGCGGCGTTGAGGGCGGCACGGCGGAGTCCTCACCGGTAAGGGCAGGGGCGACGCGTTGGTGGCCGCCAGCAGGGCGACGAGCACCACGGCGGCGCAGAGCGGCAGCGCGGCGAGGCGGCTCATGTTGCGGTCGGTGCGACGACGACGGCGTCGAGGATCCACAGGAACAATGACGACCGGAGCGTCGCGCCCAATTTATAAACTTGGCGGACACACGGCTGGCCGTCGTCAGCGGGCCGCCCCAGCTCTCCCCATCCGCGCCTGATTCCGAAAGACGTCGCTCTGTCTCCCTCGCACCCCTACGGGCCTACGGGACGCCCCATGAGTGCAAGAGAAACAGAGCCAGCGACGAAAAGATCCTTCGGAGTGAGGCGGCTGCACGCCCGCCTTCCGGTCGTCCGCGCCCGCCAGCATGCTGCCAGCCCGGGCGGGCGGCGTGGGCGGGGCGCGCCCACGGTCACCCATGTCCCCCCGTGCATTATTAGCTGGCGGTGATTACAGTTCCAGTCGCATTGTGACGAGAAAAAACGAAGGCGGCTGACCTGCAGATGGCCGTGTATTACTGATTGGGACGGGGGCCCCTCGGCCCGCCATTACGCCGGACACGCATTCCCCCGGCAATGCCGGCACTGCCCGGGAAGACGGCCAAACAGCGGAATAACCCTTGCCTGTGCCCGGACAGACCGCGACAGTGTCGCTGGGATGGAAATGCGTCGTTTCGGTCGGGATGTCTCGAAAACAAAACCCATCCTTGCTGGCCGGAATGGGCCGCGGCGACTTGGCGTCCGTGTGAACTTACGGGAAGTGTGCATCCCCTTTGTTTTCGTTAATGTTTTCGTGTTTTTGGCAGATGATACCTTTACCTTAGCATAGAAATATACAAGAGACATCAAGATGCCAGCTAGCTTTAAGCACACACGATCACACAGGTACAGCAGAAATTAATGTCGGCCAGTGAGCTCCTTTGTTTTAAACATTTTAGTGGGACATTTAATCCGGCGGCAGCGCGGCCTCGAGAGCAGACCCTCGCGAGGGCCTCTGGAAGTTGATGGTGAACTGCAGCAGCACGCAGAGGTACGTGGCCAAGGTCTCCACGATCTGCAGGCATAGCGGGAAGGTCCGTCATCGTCGAGACAACAGTCCGGGGGAAGACCCATTTCACAGACCAGAACTCACGGTGACGACGAGGGTGAGCTTGAGCGCGATGAAGCCGTAGAGGGAGATGGTCAGGGGCTTCTTCATGACGTTCAGGAACGATATGACCTCCCTCTGCAGCAGCAGCGTGGCCGTGGTCGAGGTGGACATGCGCATCTTGAGCAGCACGTCCCTGGTGCCCGAGTCCACGGCGGCCGCCATCTGCTGCCCGGACGCGCACACCACGGCGGTGTGCCACAGCGAGTCCACCATGATGAGGAACATGGCGCAGGTCAGGAACATATCGGCCTCGCCACCCTGCGCAGTCATGGCCCATGGCATGCCAGCCGAAGCGCGAGCGCCGGCGAACGCCCAGGCAGGCCTCGCCTATCGTGATTCTGATTCCACACATCAGGCCAACTCGCCCACTCACATTCGTGGCCGCGGCCAGCAACCCGAAGCCGTTCAGCAACACCGCGGAGATGCAGCACAGCATGTAGTGCAGCGTGCAGATGCCCCAGGCCGCGGGCGCGTCCTCCGCCAGCCGCCGCAGCTCCAGCCACAGCTCGCGGTACGCGCGCACGCGGGCCGCCGGGGGCTCGCCGCCACTGACTGCCACCTCCTGCGACAAAGGGCCTTGCAGAGGGCCTTGGGCACCACCAAGATGAGGGGCCGCCTCCCCACCCACCTCCTTGAAGCAGGCCGTGAGCTGGTCCGAGGCGTTGACGGCCGCCGTGCCCAGGACGTCCCAGAAGGCAGGCACGGACGCGTGGAAAGCGGCGGCCAGCAACCCCAGGGGGACGTTGTGCCAGTTGCTGGTCGGGATGCCCAGGCTGAGCGGCACGGCCAGCACGCACGGCACACCCAGGCAGGCCGAGGCCTTGTGCGTGGCCAGGGAGCGCACCGCCAGGCGGAGCGGCCGCCCCGTCTCCGCCAGGAAGCGAGCCTGCGCACGCCAGTGAACGCCACGAGTGTCACCGTCTCCGAGAAAGCAAAATACGCGGTTCTGACGAGAAATGATAGTAAGGGTGGAGCGGGGGTTGAACCCCGCCCCGCGATGCGCCCGGACCTGGAAGTGGGCCCAGTCGGACAGGTAGTCCGCGAAGCGCGGTGCGGCGGGCCAGTGCAGCACGGGCGTGAAGTAGTGGTGGTGCAGCAGCAGGAAGAAGAACATGTTAAACACGGCCTCGCTGAAGTGGCTGAGGCTGGACACGAAGACGTCTATCCGGAACACCGTCTCGTACACCACGTCCACGAACGCCAAAGCCCAGCCCGCCGCGGACAGCAGCATCATGCTGGAGCGCCACGAGAAGTACGCGCCGCCGTCCGCGGTGAAGTCTGGCGAGCAAGCGGCCGGTGGTGGAGGTGAGCACACTCTGGGACCCGCGTCCCCTGACGGTGGCTTCTCTGATTGGAAACAAGCCGCAGACGAGACCTACGCAGGGGCATGATGTTGATGAGACGCATGACCAGCAGCAGGGGCTTCATCTCCTCGGCCAGGGTGAGCACCGTGCCGTGGGGCGGCGGCCCGCCCTTGGGCCCGCCCCTCGCCGGCTTCTGCTTCATCCCGCTAGCGCGCTAGCACCGCAATAACCATCGGCCCTCCCCTTCCGCCGACAGCCTCGGAATTCCCCTCCCCTCCCCCCTCCCCCCCTTGGCTTTTTAGGGCCGTCTCATGTGTAAATGTTTGCACTGGATTTATCGGGCCGACATCGCCAAAGCACGGCCTGGCTGGACGGACACAAGGCACTCTGAGGGCTGATTTCGACGATTCGCTTCGTCGCTGTCTCTGTCGCACTCATGGGTCGTTCCGTAGGGGTGCGAGAGAGACGGAGCGGCGAAAGCATTCTTCGGAATCAGCCAGCGGCTCGCTCTTTGGACACGCCCCGCAGCGCAAACACCGCGAACACCGCACGCGTGCGGCCGCGCTGCCGGAGGCCGGACTAACTTTGTTGTGTTATAAACAAGAAAAAATTAAGAGATTTCCTTTTCTATTTATTGAAAACAAAGCATTTAACTGAACATAAAAATACATATGCATAAAATCTAAAAAAAATTGGCACACATTTACAAAATATACATTGATCATTTTTTAACTTACATACAAACTTGAAGAAAATTTACAAAAAAAAGGTGATTTACCAAAAAATTATACTTTAAGAAGACTAGAAAATATCTAAGCTGCAAAGATAAAACTGATTCAAAGGTGAACCGGGGAGTTCATTTCAAACAATATTGATTGTGGTCGACAACTGGGTTAGGATGGATGAATAAATGTACTGATGTGCTTGAATGAAGCTCAGGAATTAATCTAGCAGGCAGAATTACATTTTGTAAGCAAGTACTGTAAAGTTGCTTCTTTCAAATGTACCATGATAACTTAATGCAGTTCATAAGAGCCCAAAGCAATTGTTTCCGTCACCTGAGGTCATGTTACAAGGCACCAAAATACTCACATAATGCTTGTCATGCACAGAAAATTTTAAACATGCAAATTGATCAAGAGCGAGATTCACAGAAAACATAAGTATGAACATAAAGGAAGGCACACATTCACATTCATTATGTTTCAATGTGCCAAAGCAGCACTGCACAAAACCTCAATGAACTCACAATATATATCATGTACAGAAACTTCTAGCCTTTCCACATTACAATCGTAAAAGGAAGGAGATTCACCGAAAACAGGAGTATAACCCAGAAGGCCCACATTCAGAGTCCTATTTTCTATTGGAAAGTCAAGGCATAACACACTCTTTCAAAGGCACATTCATTGTTTAAAATTATGAAAGCAGGGCCCATAGCATAATTTGCACTCAATCTTTCTACAAAATCAATCTGAGAATATTGTGTGAGTAAGGGCTGTTCATAAGTCAGCACCCCAATTTATAAACAGCTCCTATCACAGGTCAAATATCAGTACTTTTTGATAGTTTGTCCACATTAAATTGATTCATCATAACATGTTTTTGAGTTTGTTGATCTAAAAAGTTAAGTAAAGATAAAAGAGACAGTTATTAATTTTGCAATACATGCAAATTACCCTGTCTGTAGGTCCACCAAATACAAATTTATTGCGCTGTGTTCCTAAAACATTTCTATAAAAATATATTATTGTAACAAACTGGTAAATAGAAACCATAGAATATGGTTGATAACAGTTAAAAGGTCCACGTTTGTGACAGCCAATGTGAAATGCTGTGTAAGGAAGACTCCAAATTAATTGTTGCAGTTATCGTACAAGGCACAAGGAAAAATTTAATCTAGTGAGCTGATTTTATTCCTTCCCTCTTAAAAATTTGCTGAACGCTGAATTCAGGTTTAACTAGAGGGGCCACACTTATCTAAAAGAAACAAACATGATTAAAACCAACCACTGAGTTGGATAGAGGTTAAATCTTTGTGTAACACAAATATCACATTGGGAGGATAAGAGAAAGACAGGGTACCATAGAGATGGTAAAAAGATTCCCTTATTGTGAAAAACCCTAACCGATTGAAGAAAACAAGACTGATACAGATGTAACTAACGCCAGTAATATAAATACATTTGCACAAAAATATTAACAAATATTAGAAGCATCAAAAAACTGCACTTTGCTTCTATATACCGGTATATAGAGAATGAAATATCAATCACAATCACCACTTTGCTAGGCCCTGTATTACAAGAAGAAATATTAAGTTTGAAGAAATATACACACATTTACATTTAACATTCATTGCCAATTCATTGAGCACTTGGTAATCCAAATTAATTTACTTTTAACTGGGGAGCTACATATAACAACAACATTATCAACAACATACAAAATATATCTAAAATTATAAAGTATACTATTTATATTACTGCCAATGCATGCAATAAAAGTGATGATTAGTTGAAAATTGGGTGTGGTAATCCTCCACCATCATATGTTAATAACATACACACCTTTGTACTGTGAAAGTAAAGTGCACACGTGCAAAACGCTTCTCTCTTGAGAAAAAAAAAATCAAAACACTTTAAAAAGTTGATACATTAAAAAACTTGAGTACTTAGATCATTGTACAAGGGGCACAGCCCATAATATTTTTTTCCATTCACCACACCAAACCCTTCCAGAAGTACACACAAATCATATGAAAGGCACTTCAGGAGTCTTGTCACACTGAGCAAGACTTCATGACTGTTGAGCTTGAACTGATGTGCTAGATGATGTTTTTGGTCTTGTAATTAACTGATCATCAGCTAATTTTACAGATTCTTTTGACACTAAATTGGACACATCTAGTGGTAATTTTCCAGGATCCAGCTTTTCTGACTGTTTGGCCCTTGATATGGGAAGGGTGTTGTTATTATCACTTAAACTGGGAGTTGACGTTTCAACATCTTTAGATGCAGCTGCTTTGGCTTTGGTCTCTTCACTTGGCAAAAGCGATGTCTTCTCCTCGTTTCCTGATGGCTTTTTCATTTGGTCTGAACCATTGACTTTAGCAGATCCTTGTGTACCCAAACCTGATACGGTTGCATTATTTCGACTACTTCGACTGGGTGAAGATTGTGAGCTGGAAGCAATTGATACTTTCTCACTTATTGAAACAGTTCTCTGACCAGCAGAATATGATTTCGATGACAGCGACGATGAAGAGACTGATGACGACGGCGGGGAAAGGGACATTGACGATGGAGATGGAAGAGATGTAGGGTATCCAGTCGGACTGCAAGGTGATGATGGGTTGAGTTGACGATGCAATGTGTGACTATTAAATAATATACTAGCAGGCTGAGGTAGAGCTTGATGATAACCACTTGCTGTTACTGGAGGATATCCCAAACCAGGACTCAATAAACTTGCAAATTGAGCATTAGTTGGATGAAGACCAGGTCCATACATAAAGTTTGGCATTCCTTTGGGCAGGAAGGGATTGTGAGCAAAAGGGAATGAATTTACTAGCAGCTGATTTGGAGAGTTCCGTAAGCTGGAGAGATCTGTATGTTTAGTTACAGAGCTAGAGGTGGTTGTTGTTGTCGTTGCTACAACCCTGGATGAAGGCATATGATTACTAACTTGAGCGGAGAGTGTTGTAGAAGGGAAAGGAGGCCTTGTTTTTGGCTGCGTTGGAGATGACTTGGATGTTAAAGACGGCGCATTTGAAACTATGGGCGTTAGAGTTCTAGGATCTAATTTCATGACAGATGGAGACTTAGCAGGTGGAGGGGTTTGAGGTTTGCTTTCAGGAATTTGGTACATAGCTTTAACCCCTGATGCAGGATTGCCAAGAAAACGAGGAGTGTTCCGCACTTTGAAAAACTTGGCAGGAGTTGCAGGTTTTGCAGGCCCTCCTTGACCGCTGCCGGAGGCTGAACTGCTTCCCTGCTGCTGGGGCTGCTGATCTGCCTTTGAAGAAAGAAAACTGTTTCTTGATATAGTTGGATTCCAATTCTTTGGCCCACATTTCAGAGTTTTGTAGCCAACAGGAGATGAGCTGGATTTTTTGGAAGGTAGAGCCGTTGGAGCTGGTTTGGCGATTGGCACTGGAGCTATTTTCATCGGAGTAGTGGTTATCAGGGCTGAATTTGTAGAAGTTGTTGGTTTTGTCACACCTTTTGATGCTGAAGTGATACTTGAGCTTGAGCTTACTGAAGATGCAGCAGAAACAACAATGCTGTGACTTGTCACTAGGGTGGCTGTGCACGACTTGGATGTGATACAGGTGGATGCAGCAGCTGCAATGCCACTCACTGAAGGTACATTTGACTGTGAGCTACTTGGCAGAGTGGAAATGGTGGGAACAGAAACCTTTTCAATAGGTTTCTTCTGTTGAGAAATACACATAACTGCAAGTTCTTTTGATTGTGAACAAGTCTTTGCTGGAGTCAAAGTCTTCTGGTCAGATAATTCAGGCTTGGAGAGCTTCTTTTCATCATCTTTCCTGTCAGAGGTCACTTTTACAACAGGATCATCCTTAGGGTGTTTAATAGCCTTTGTTGGTTCAATTTCTCTGACAGATTCAATATCTTTGACTTCTTTATCATCATGGTTGCTTGATTTGGCACTGTTGCCAATCTTGTCTAGAGATGGAGAACAATTTTCCTTTGGTTTTGGTTCACCATCAGACTTTATTTCATCACTTTTAGCATCAACCTTTTGGGCAATGATACTTTTGGAGACAGATGGTTTAAGATTCTTGTCATTAGAGTTAATGAGTTTATCAATAGAACTTATGTCTGTGACACTCATTACTCCACTTTCACTTATCTGCAACTGCACCTCTTTCCACTCATTGGAACTTTTGTCTTTTTTAAGAACATCTGCAGTTTTCTTTGCAATGCCTAGTCGTGATATGATGGAATCAAGCTTTGATTTACTCTCTGGTTGAGGGGAACTTGTAGCTTTGACAGGTACAGCAGGCAGAGATGAAATCAAAGTAGGGGGAGGCGGATCTACTTCCATCTGTTCGGGAGCTTCTGCTCTTATTTCTTCCACTTTCCTTTTCTTGCATGGAGCCTCAAGAATGTGGTAAGTAAAGTTAAACTGTTCTTTCTGCCAAAAAAGATGAAAAAAAATTGAATTAGTTAAGTGGTTGATGCAGAGGAGAAATAACAATACAGAGCAAAGGCACACTAGATAGCAATAGTTCGAAATAAGAGCTTGAAAAACATACTCTTTTTCTGTGAAATGAGTAAGCGACATCCATGATACTGATATCAGGCTTCAGAATTTTGTCATTGAACATAACATCAACTTGATGAGCTGGTGACAAATCGTATTTGTTTCGAACTAACTTCTGGAGGTGAGCAACTGTGACAGCAGCAGGACATCGAAGATAACGTTTGTAGATACCCTATTGGTTTGGGAAAGAAACAGGTATAAGAAATGACAAATTATTCACATCAAAATGATAAGAATTAAATGTTTCATACATAGTAGCAATAAGAAAAATACTCACATTATTATTTGATACGGCATCATGCTTGTATTCTAAAGACAAACTGACAGGCTCATCAGGAGAATAAAATTGACACTCAATGGGATCAACAATTCCTCTATCTTCAGGCGAGGAGGGTGGTGCTTCTGGGTGCTTAGCATAAAACTCTTGGCGAAATTTCATTTCTCCTAGAACATAAATAGATATTGAAGAAACCAAATGAGAAGCCAATAAAAAATTATTGTAACTTGTTACATTAAAAAACACTCACTCTGAAAAAGTCCTGGAACCAATTTGTACACCATGGTTTGTAAAGTTTCATCCGGTCTGATGTTGAGGAGTGGTTTAGTTTTGTGAACTTGAACTTCACAAATGGGGCAGTATTTACTGGTTTCAAGATGCCGCACCAAGCAGCTCTTACAAACTACAAAGAATGCATGTTATCAGTAAAATTAAATATGTTGTCCTCATAGTGAACATAAACTTAACAAGGCACCCACAGGAATGGAGGCACTCAATGATGGTTGTGGCGTCCACATAGTAACCACCACACAAAACGCACATCAAGTGCGGATGGAGCTCTGCCACAGGCAAGCGGCGACGAGCCACTCGCTCAGTTTTAAATGTGCTCATCCTAAAATAAAAGAATGATGCTGCATTAGAACATATTGCATGCTGTTCCAAGGATTATGCATAGATGTTCATCCATTCACTTATGATAAGTTAGACTAGACTCCTATCAAAAACGTACCTTGCAGATGAAGATGTAGGCTCTTATCACAGTAGTAGATTACTGACATGCCCTGAAACAGATAGCAATTTTATTATATTTATAAACAAACTAATAGAAAAGGCTGCATTGAGCTAGGAATAGCTTGACATGTAAATGAGAAGAGGGGGAAAATATAAAATGCGACTGTAGAAGTGAAACAGCAGGACCGTTTGCAAAGCTGAAAAAGTAAAAGTTGAGAAAACAGCAAAAGAGAGCAATAAATTTTATCTGCCATCGCAGTTACGTGAGAGATTTACAAAACATAACCTAACTTTACATGAAGCTTGCATATAGGTCCGCTCATACTTCGATGACAAAGAACAAGACAGCCAGATCAAATTCCAGCCAAGACTAAACAAATAAACAAGCTGACTTCCCAGGAAACGTTCCGATCAGCAGCTTTGTAAAATTTAAAGGCAGATACAGAAGACGGACGTCAGCGTTAGGCCTACTTGTCAACTGTGCCTCAGACCTGTCTGGTGGATTGCAAGTCGGACACGTTGATGAACTCTCAAATGGACCACTAATGGCTTGAGACTATCGGTCAGTACCTACGTACCTTCAGACACAAGAATTCAAGATCTACATCGAGTTTAGAAAACATGCTAGCCATATTGAAGGACACAACAACTATCGCAGATGACCCCCTGACACGGTTAACAGCAACTTCCATTATATGTTGCATAAATAAAAATGTGACACAGCTAACTTTTGCACCCTGCGGTTCCAAAATTAACTCGAGCAGAAAATCCCGTTGCTTCACACCTACCCACAACATCAAGGATAGAACGACGAAGGAAGTTTGAGGGCAGCCCACATCGTAGGCCACAAAACATTACATACGTCGTACCACACTCGCTCCACTCGCATGCACTGTTTGGTCACGTGACCTACCCGCCAAACCAAGCCTGGCTGGACTAGGTCAGTTCCTGACCGTCACTCCTTGCGAGGCTAGCTTCCGAAGTATGAGAGTTTCTGATTGCGGGAAAATTGGTTGAAATGCCCCCCTTCCCCCTCCCTCTTCCGCAGCTCCTCCGTCGCGTCGTCTTGCGTGTGTTTTCGTGGCTCTCACGCCGCGGCTGCGGCGTTGCGCAGCGCAGTGCTCACTGTCGGAGCTAAACTGCGTGCTTCTCGGTGTCTTGTTGTTTCATCTTGAGTAAAAGAGATTTAAGAGAAAACCATAAAATATGGCGGAATTTGTAGAGCTTCGTACGGAGGAGATGCTCCCGGAGGTGGAGCAGATGGAACGAATGTTAATGTTCGAGAAAGACGAGTTGCGGTAAGGACTACATGACATAACCTCTCAGTCGTCCTTGTGTGTGTCCACTTTCTGATGTCGGCCACTATAATGCCACTTTGTTATAGTCCTTAATTCTTTATTTTTCTAGCATCTGTATCGGGTGCATGCATTCTTCAGCAACTCATCTAATCATGTATATGTTTCCTACTGTTTACAGAACAATTGCTAAAAAACGGAAGGAGTTTGAGTACAAGATTCAGAGACGTACCAAAAACAAAGAAGACTATTTACGTTATATTCAGTATGAAATGGATTTACTGAAGTTAATCCGTTTGCGTAGGGAGGTAAGAATGTTTTTTTGGCTGAGTTTTCCAAGGATTTGAACAAATCTGCATGTGTTGTCATTTAATTGGTGTCACCTTTCTCCAACAGAAAATGGGGTACCAGCAGAAGAAGGCTAATATTGATTTTACTATTGGCAACAGAGTCAACAAACTTTTCAAACAGGCTATTTTCCGTTTTCAAGATGATGTTCGCCTTTGGCTGTCCTACATTAAATTTTGTAAACAAGTGGTAAGCATCTCTTTTGCTTGGATAAGTTCAGAATTTATCATCTTATCTGCAACCTTTTTATTTTCTCTTTCAGCGATTTTACAGTTGTGTTAGCCGTATGCTTGTTCGAATGCTCCAAGTTCACAGTGATAAACCTCAACTCTGGAAACTTGCTGCCAAATGGGAGTTTGAAGAGAGTCTGTCAGTTGAGAATGCACGCCAATTCTTGCTCCGAGGGCTTCGTGCCCATCCTGACTCTAGATTGTTGTATGCAGAAGCTTTCAGAATGGAGCTGCACTATGCAGCAAAAAAGCGTACAGAGCTGGAGGAAGCAAAGAAAAAGCAAGGTGAAGGGGAAAATGTTGCTGGAACAAGTACAAAGGATACCAGTGAAACCACTACAGATGGTACCAAAAGTGGAATTGCCAACCTAAATGGGGATGTAGTTCCAGATCAGGTAAAGTAAAATAATTTTTCCCTGATGTTTCTTTTAATACTGCAGTTGTATCCAATGCCATTTCTTATTAAACTCTCATTTCCCTACCCAGGTGGCTGAAGGAAAATTAGCTGAACTTATTTATGAATCGGCTATGAAAAAAGTAGATGGAGTTGAATTCATTATTCAGCTGTTAGATATTGCTAAAGAGTTTGATTTCACAAGTAAACTACAGAAGAAAATTGTTGAGTAAGTTTATGACTTGCTGTGCTGAAATGATAAATTATCCGTTATTTAGAAATCAATGTAGTTTTCTCTTTCCTTATTCATTAAAATTTTTCTTTGTAATCATCTTTAGGGATCTGCTAAGTAAATACCCAGATAGCGAATTGACTTGGGACACCATGGCAAGGAGAGAACTGGAGGGATCGCCCTATGCTGACCCGAGCAATACAAGCCAGTTGCCTTTAGAACCATTATTGGGTGTTTCTACAGACCATTCATCACTCCCATTAAATCCAGAAGCATCAATGTCAATGGATGTTGATGATGAAGGCACAGACAGCGAAAAGAAAGGAAAAGCAAACCTAACTCAGAGATTAAGGTTTGTAATCTTCACCACACCTCCTGCCTGGCGTCCATAAAGTATCTATAGCAATCTGATTACATTACAGATTATGTTGTGAAGTTTATGAGGCTGTTGTGAAGAAACTCAATACAGAGAAAATGTGGTCCCTGTATCTGGACACAATGCTGGAGGTGAGCCAGGATGAATCTCATCTTCCATGCTACAAAAAGAAGCTGCTGAAGCATGCATTACAAGGAGCTCACAATGCTGGGAAGCTTCAAGAGAAATATTATTTACACTGGGTGAGTTCCTTGCCTTATTTGAATGGTTTTCTCATCCCTCAGAATTTTGTGCATTTCTGAAACATTCAGTGTCTGTTTTTCCCAAACTCACATTTTTCTTTTCTCCCTTTTCTGGTACTAGATTGAAATGCTACAAGCTGCAGGTAAAACAAAGAAGGTTCGTGATGTTTTAAAATCAGCTACAGAACATATACCATCGAGTGCAGAGTTGTGGCAGCTTAGACTTCGTTTCCTTCTTTCTCGAGATGAGGAAATGGCTGCAGAAGATGTTTTCCAATCAGCTTTAAAGCAACTTGGTAGGTAGAGCCTGCCAAATAGATATTTTTGTCAGGTTTTATTAGAAATTAAGTAGTGATTTTTTTTGGTTACTTTGAGCTGGGTTTTTATAGTAACATTGTATTTGATGCCTTTGCACCATCTGAAAAGTGTTCCAACCGTAACAAAGTGATAATGATTTTGTTGCAGGAAGTGACCCTGAAAGTGTTTTGCCCCTCTGGAAAATTCAATTGCAATACTGTCAAACAAAGAGTCCTGCAAAGACAGAGGCACTCTATGAGAGAGCTCTGGCTGCGCCCGCGAGTGTAGTGACTGCCCTACGCCCTATGTACCTTGAGTGGCTTTGTCTTTCTCGGGGCATCCGGGACGCTCGCGCTGCTTATGACAAACTGTGCCTGCAGCCTCCTCTTAGCCTCGACTTGCACACTAAGATGGCTGCTCTCGAATCCATGCAAACCACTGCAGTTATGAAACAAGTTCGGAAATGCCATGAAAATGCTTGTAACCAGTTTGGCAAGGATAATGCAGGTAAGATTGCAGTTAGTTTTAAGGTAGATATCGTTTTCCCCTCTCACAATCAGCAGCAGGTTTTACTAATTATTATTCTTATTTCTTTGACAGATGTTTGGATGGATTATGTGAAGTTTGAAATGAAAAGAGGAGACCCAAAAAATATTAGCAATATTTACTTGAGAGCTGTTAGACAGCTAGAACCTATCCAAGCTGATATTTTCATTCATGAATTTTCCTTAGTAAAGACATGTATGGCTGTTCCTCCCTCATCAGAGTCATGACCCATTTTTATTACTTTCCTTGAAATTTCTGTGACTGTTTGATATGATATTTGGCGAACATAACTAACATGACTGTCTGTACTACTGATGTACGTTGCTGTAAATATGATCATTCTACTACACCTAGTAAGATTTTCAATCAGGGAATTCGGAATTAGTGTCCTTTCTCTGTTTGTGTATTCATTTCAAATAACATTGGTTGTCTGACTGTCTAATTGTTTAAATACCATTAATGAATTCAAAATGTATTCTGTGGAATTACGTAATTTGATTTTTGAAACTTATAATTAGGATCCCTTTCCCCTTTTTCTCATACCACTCGAATGTAGTAGATAATAATAAAACAAATAACAAGAAAAAAAAATCTTTTCTCTATGAGCATATTCTCAATCCAGAAACATGCGCTCGCACCCGCTGCGTCTAAGAAGTTGGGTTGGAGCTGGTTGGAGATGTCTGCACAGACTTGTCTTCGGCCAACCGTTCACTCATTATGCCAACATATAATGAAAAGATAAAAATAATATAGACGATAATACTAATAGCTATTAGGTTCATGGATGTCATTTCATGATGGTAGAAAAAAGCGGTATTCATACCGTTGGATTTTACTAAACTTCCCCGCTACTTGCCTGAAGAACCATCGCTCAGCCGGTCATTAAGTCTTCGACTACTGGCAAGACTGGTGTTGCCCCACTCTGGTTTCTTTAGCATCTACAGCAGACACAGATCAAAATGTCATCTCTAAACCGAAACAAAGGCTTCCGAAATGCTGGAAACACATGTTTCATCAATGCAGCTCTACAGGTACAGTCCCTTTCCACGAAGATTTCATCGTTTACGTATCAGGCGAAAACAGATCCGGCTGATCAGAACGTGGCGTATCGCTGATTCCCGTTAGAACCCCATGTTGCTTTTACACGATGTAATTTTCTTGGATAGAGGGGATGGGGATGGAAAATTCTAAACTCACTGGTAATTGTGCAGGTCGTGTTCAGTTCTCCGTTGGTAATGCGTCGACTGCGGGATCACTACAACAACAACAACAAATGTCCGGGAGCTGCCACCTGCGTTGCATGCGCCGTCGTGACAGACTATGACACATTGTCGGCTGCTACTTCAGACGATCCAGAGAACGTTCTTAATCTTTTAAAAAGTAAGTATTTCGTGTGAAACGGACACATCCGAATCAGATGTGACACGATCGCGATCTGTCAATGAACATCTCTTACTGGGTGCCTTCACATGTGGGGGGTCTGACCTTGATCAGCGTACCAGTAAATAGCGTTATTTTTGGACACTGGAACGGCAGCAAATATCTCCCTCTTTCATAGAACTCATGCCTCATATGGAGCCTGGAAGTCAGCAGGATAGTCACGAGTTTCTCCTCAACCTCCTGAATGCCATCAACAATCAGCTGGCTCAGCATTGCAATGCATGCATTAGTAAAGGAAAGCAGGTTCACTACAGTAAGTACCTGAGATAAGAGAAGGGTCGGCCAGAGAAAGGCGAGACCGAGCGAGCACCGGACGTCCGTCTTTCACAGTGCGCTCGTCGTAGCGCCCGGCAGGTAGGCCAGACCAGCCGCGCAACGCCCGGGTGTGAGGAAGGTGGCCTACCTCGCCCGGGGGCGTTAGGGGGCGTCTCAGCTCCCGAGGACAGAATAAAAGACGGGCGTCAGGTGCTCTATTTGTCGCTCTAGTTGGTGCGTATTCTGTCGGTTTCTCCAAGCCGTCCCTTCTGTAGCTTTCATGCATAGCTGGCACGGAGCCCCGCCTTCGCCGCCAATTTCATGTTTTGTTACACTTATTTTTTAGCCGAGTGCCAAAATTGCCCTTCACGACGAGAAAATAGCGAGCTCTTTTGGGGATTTGAAATCCCGATCAGACACACTGTTGAGGAGGGCCTCTCCGAGTGTTTCCGCGCTGCCCTGCTGGAGGTGGACTGCGAGTGCAAGAAGAAGGCCCCCACCACAAGATTCCTGAAGATCGTGACCATGCCCGAGATCCTCATTGTGCAGTTGGGAAGGCAAGTGGCCAGCGGCGCAGACGGACGTCAGCCAATGCAAGGAATTTTCTCAAACTAATAAAGATCAACAACTTTTGTAGGTTTCAGTTTGAAAACGACAGGATTTTCCGCGTGAGGGATGTGTCGGTGATTCCGTTCCGGCTGGACCTGAGGGAATACCAGGACCGCGGTGCCTCCGACTCCTCGCCCCCGAAGGCCACGGCGGCCACCTTCAAGTGCGTGGGGCTGGTGCTGCACTACGGCAACTCAGCCAACGAGGGGCACTATCGGGCCGCGGCCGTTGTCGAGGGCGGTCGTTGGCGTCTGTTTGACGACCGCGTGGTAGGTTTAGATGAAACGGAAGTTGAAATTAGACCCGTAACACTACAGTTAAAGAAAATTCCTTGTGTCTCAGGTGAAATCTGCGTCATGGGCTACGATTCAAGAGTCGGACGAAGTTTACTTCGCTCTTTACGAGAGGTAACCGCGACGAGTGTGCTTGCTCTGTATACCTATCTTAGCCTATCCAAGTGTCCGTGGTTCGCCTACACGGTTCATTCGGTCGCTATGCAGTCCAGCAGACAGGGCCGCGGGACTAGCGCGGGGACGGACTGACCCTACGCTGCACAGTGGGCCAGAAGACCGGTGGAGGCGGCCAAAACTCTAGACGCGTTTTGAGCTCCAGAGTCGCTAAATGGGACTCGAACCGAGCGTGTGACCCCACCAATGGATTCCTCGTTCGGAGAGCAATCCATTGCTCGGGCCACATGTTCGGTTCGAGCCCCTTTTAGCAACTCTGGAGCTCAAAACGCGTCTAGAGTTTTGGCCGCCTTCACCGGTCTTCTGGCCCACTGCGCGCTGCCCGGGCTCATCCCGCGAGCAGGGGCGCAGGCAGGACTGAGGTGCCTAGCGTGCCTGAGGCACTTCCGCGCGGCCCTGTCGGCGGGACTGTCGGCATACTTAAATTTGGACCTGAGAAGCTGGACCATGTAAGAAATGATGGTCATAAAATACAAGACCCACCGTGTCCGCTGTCGGCAGGTTCCAGGAGTTCCAGGAGGGCGAGAGTCCCTCGCCACCGCCATGGCGGCCACACCACGCGGCCTTCCGCCGGACGTACTCCGCCGCCGCATTCAAACTGGGCAAGCATCCACCGCGCTCCCATTCGGGTGGCGCGTTCTTCCCCCGGGTGGCTTCCACCCCCAAAACCTCGGATGCCTTCGACTTCGCGCTGTCCTCCGACTCTACCTCTCTGCCCGCGGCGTCCACGGCGCTGGCGGCCACGAACACGCCCGCGCGATCTTCATCCAGCTCCGCCACCGAGTCCGCCACCCGTCTGCCCGCGCGACTGGCGCCCCTGGACGGCAGCTTCCCGTCCGTCGTCAGGGACCCCCTGGACGGCACTCCATCCAGCAGGTCCAGCAGCTCGGCGCTGCAGCTGCTCGGCAAGCTCAGGGCATCATCCTCGTCCTCAGCGACCACCGAGAAGGCCAAGGCCAAGGCCCCGCAGTGGCGCACGCCGCATCAACCCCCGCGTGCGCTGACGGGCGCCCGACTCGACTGGAGCACCGGGCCAGTCGAAGAACGCTCCACCTTGCACGGAACTCTTGATTTCTCGGTCTTGCCGGCGTCGGTCGGGACGCCGTCGCTGCTCGAGTCGAGCACTGCCTCTGCGCCGGTGGCGCAGGTGCTCATCGCCCCCAAGTGGCGGACGAGCCCCATCGCTGTGACGGCGCCTCTGCAGACCGCCACCGACCTGCCCAGCCCGGACAGCCCGTCGTCCCGGTGGACCACCACGCCCAACAATGAGCGGCTGTCGTGGTGCCGGCCTGACGCGGCCAAGCCTGGCAAGCCTGGCAAGCTCCTCACCAAGTACGACACCAGCTCGTCCGACGATGACCGCCTGCCCTCCGCCCGCTTCGAGGCGTCGCCGCCGCCGCGGCCCTTCAAGTGCCAGTCGTGCGGCAAGGCGTTCCGCGCCGAGGCGGCCCTGCTGCGCCACGAGGTGCGGCATTCCCTGTGGCTGCTGCCGGACAGCAGGCCGCGCGCGTGCCGACAGTGCCGGCAACAGTTCCCGTCGCTGGAGTCTCTGCACCGCCACATGAGGAAGCACACGCTGGGCTCCGGCCCCTCCGGTCTCGGGTGCCCGAGGGACTGCGGCATCCAGTTCCCAGACCCCGGTTTGCTGCAACGGCACCTGGACGCCCACGGCAAGCCGCAATTTGCCAAGTGGAGAGAGGTAAGTAAAGTGAGGTCTTTTGATTGTTTTGTTGCTGCGTCGGAGTTCTGTGTCGTCATCGCTGTCTCTGTTTTCAGAGCCCCAACGTGGAGGGAAACAAGGAACACTTGTGCAAAACGTGCAAGGGACACTTCCAGGATTGCAAAACTTTGTCACGCCATCGGAAAGCCTTTGGGGAGGGACGATTGAGAAAACCGTGCAGCTCTTGTAAAAGGCGTTCTGCTCGGAGACTCAAGAAACTAGACTACTTGACGAGGATCGTCCCGTGGCAGAAGCATCGTGATGCCATTCCCTTTCAGTAGTAGGAATAACGTCTGAAGCACAGCACTGCTACCTCTTAGACTCAAAATCAGGCCGATCAGGGACCAGCAAACCAGGCGATGCATTTTCAGCTCTACTGAGGCTACTGAGCAAACCGCGGTTAAACTGGATACAGTCTAGCCAACCGTAGGCCGACCCCCCTATCCGCGGGGCAAGCTATTGTCTCATAACCTTAAAAAATATATGAAGTCTTCCTCCGTTTATTTTCTAATATTTTTGTGTAAAGACAACTAACTGAGTTAATCTAATGGTCACGGAGGGAATATTTTTTGTTTGCAGCGTTGTTAGTACTGTGGTGCCCCCGGCTCGAGGCTCGTCTCGTGATTCTTAGGGGGCGCTGAATGTGTCGTCCGTCATATGACACTTCTTCCATCGATCCTTCTTGTACCGAAATTCGTTGAATTCTCCATATTAGACCAGTTTTCAAGAGGTTCCCAGACTTTTTGCTCAAAATGAAGCTCCGCAACTTATTGTTATACATCGCTAGTGTGGCGTGGATTTCAGCCATAGTAGTGATAGTGCTTTACTATTTACTTTCTGGTCGCGGAGAGCAACTGAGTATCGGCTGGTTCTTGTCTGAGACCTCCCCTTACATGTGGGCAACTCTGGGGATTGGACTTTCTGTAGCTTTGTCCGTTGTCGGAGCCGCCATCGGTATCCATACCACTGGAGTGAGTATCATCGGAGGTGGTGTCAAGGCTCCTCGCATCAAGACCAAGAACCTCATCTCTGTGATCTTCTGTGAGGCGGTGGCCATCTACGGTCTTATCACAGCAATTGTTCTATCTGGTCAGCTGGAGCAGTTTTCATCTGATGCTAAGAAGATTCAGAACTATATGTCTGGCTACTTAATGTTTGGTGCTGGCATCAGTGTTGGCCTGGTCAATTTGTTCTGCGGCATGGCTGTCGGTCTTGTCGGATCTGGTGCAGCTCTAGCCGATGCTGCCAATTCTGCCCTTTTTGTCAAAATTTTGATCGTAGAAATCTTTGGAAGTGCTATTGGTCTCTTTGGTCTTATTGTGGGAATTTACATTACATCAAGTGTGAAAATGGGTGATAGTTAGATGTCTTGTTACAGATAAAGTATTATGTAGATGTTGAGATCCACAGCTTGTTTTAAAAAGAATCTTAGGATTGTTACTGGTCTGTGCATTTATAAGTTGCGGATCTTTACATTGTTTAGCACAAAGAGTTTGTGCTGGAAAGTATTGTTTGAACGTTTATTTGTGTGCTGATCAAACCTGTGGAATGACATTTTAAATGCAACAATTTTATTTCTCAAAAGAATACTTAACCATAATTTATGTGGCATGCATCCTAGAATTCAAAAATTTGAAATGCAACTGTTACTAAACGTATGGAAGATGTAACTTGAACTGCAAAGTAAATGTGGTTGTTTTTCTTTCATAAATAATTTAAATGTGCCACCATATGTTATGCCCTTCTACTTGTAATGTTCTTTTGTGCCCCACAGCTGCTGCTTAATTTTTTTTTTACCCCTTAGTTTGTATTTTGAAATTCATCCTGTCAAGTGTATTGGTTCAACTACATTCCAAATTTGTATATATGTTGTGTAGCCACATTTTTATTGCTCAGGCACTGTATGTCCAGTGAATTCTCAGAATTTTGTTACTGTTACCTATGTTCTGAGACATGCAAGTTAAACAATAATTACCAATCTATGGTTATTGTAATTTTCTCTGATAGACTCTGTATAAATACATGAATGAAACATGATTGCTATCTCCATTTGTAAATAGGCAGTCAGATTAAAATTGCATCCAACTTTACATTTCTATTGACTTATATTTTTTAGTAGAGAGTTAAATTTAATAAATGCTTTTTAAGTATGGTTTTGTTTTCTTCAAAGTTCTCATTACAGTTGTCACTTGTATTTATTTAAAAAACAAAACAAAATTAAAGACTCATCTTGTATTGACTAAATCACAACTTCATCATCCTGCTTGTAAGAAACTTGTAAAAATGTACTTAATTGCAATCTGTCTATAGTATGATTGAAACGTGGGTTACTTGAAAGCAAATGTTCATATCATTAAATGTTTGTTGTACATTCAGTGAGCTATGTAATGAGCTATTGAAATGAATAAACATATAAGACCCAAGATTGATTGACAAATCTATTTCACAATTCACATGTGACTCTTATATTACCTCAGAATATGAGGAGGAAAGCAGCTAAATTACAAGTCTCCATTAGGCATAACTGGACTCTCTGAAGCAGTTGGGTCCATAGTTGACACGGTCCCACCAACAGGGAGCTGGCCTCTGATTTTGGAATAATAAAATCCTCTTGTTTCGAGATAATGAGATGGCTGGAATCCCCCAGCGCCTTGGCCTCCGATTCACAAGTGGGGTCAGGTTTGTCATCTATATTTGCTTCAAGAGGGGCTTCATTTTTCTGGGCAGCAGGAGCATTCATCTTTGCAACTTCAAGTAGGTTATACTTTCTGTAGTAAAAATACTTGGGCACAACAGCCATGCAGCAAATGTTACGAATTACTTCTACAATCACAGATAGATCAGGTTGTTTCATGTCAGCACGATGAAGAGCATTGCGCATTTGGATATTACTTGCTAAGTCTTGAATGAGTTCCTCTCGTGGGACATTGTTGTTGTTCCTTCGTCTACAAAGAAGTAACTGTACACAAAGCTTGAGCACACTAACATCAATTTATCAAGGAATAGGGTACTTACTTGAACACAATACAGAAAGTTTTGGGTTCTCCTTTAAAGTACCTGTCAAAAAGTTTTCCTGAGGCAGTTTTAATATCATCTGGCCAAGCCTATTAAAAAAGAAATGGTTATAATATTAATAATAATAATTATTTATGGTGACCCCTCTTCAGCAAAATGAAGAGCTCTGCATTGGAAATCCTAATCGCACTTGTACATGAGGTTTAAATTCTTTCCACAAACTCTTCTCCAACAAAAAAAAAAGAGAAATAAATGTAAGAGCAAGAAACACTCACTTTGCAGGTAACTTCAATAGGTAACAGGCGCAAAAGGAATCTTGTCCTTTGCTTTGCTTCACATTCTATGTCTTTTAAGATAGATTCTACGACAACAACTGGATCTTCAACCTGAAAATGAGATGTGTTAAACCAGAGTATTATATAATACAATTAAAATTAAGTAACAAATAGCATACTGTTGAGCGAATGAAAACACAATTGTGTGCACCAGATTCTATCACTTGAAAGCGACGATTGCTAGGACCACTCTGGCGTTCTTGTTTCAAAACATTAACTTCTTTAGCCAGAGCAGCTTCTATATCGTCTTCCATATCACTGTCTTCATCATCATCAGAGTCTTTAAAAACAATTTTCTTGTTTTTTGCTTCAGTTTCTGCAGTAGAGCTCTGCAACAATAAAATTTGGAGATCCATTAATAATTTGAATATTGAGAGAAGATTAAGTCCAAATAAGGCAAAACCCTAAACCTTAATATTTTCAAAGGTAAAGTCTTTCAAACTGAAAGACATGTGGATTAAAGGGAAAACCTAACCTTGTCTTCACCGTAAATTCTGTCTGCACATTCACCTAAGATATTGATAGCCTCTCTAATGCAGTCTTTTTCACGGAAATTGCAAGTGGCCAGAAATCCTCTCACGCCGGGTTGCAACGTGAACTGCATCTTTGGTTTCTTTCCGCCGCATTTGGCATAATACGTCGATTTTTTTCGTTTGTTTATGTCTGCCATGGTGCTCGACTGATTGAAGTAAACTGAAGCTAGGTTATGTTGATGGTTGCGGTCGCGGCTCGGGGGAGGCACTTGGTGGGCCTCTTGGTCACACCGGTCACATTTTGACATCATCCTCCAAACAATTGAAATCCGCACAGCGCAGCACAAGATGGTGGTGTTGAGCTTCTGAATTTACAGGGGTTTCTCAGGAGTTTTGAGCATTTTTGTAGATCAGTCGCCACTATGATTGTGCAGGAACCTGTTCAGGTATGACACGATACATTTTGTTTCAGCATATTTGCCTTTCATCTCTCTGGAGGCTGGATATTAGTAATGGGTGACGGTCCTATCAATGGTCGTTCTGATCCTGCCTTCTGAGTTTCAGTTTATTCCGATTCATCGCTGCGTTTGCAAATATCGTCTTTCATTCCACGAATATTTTTTTTTTTACTATTTTACACTTTTGTGAATGGTTAACATTTTATTATGTTGTTGCTACCTCCCCCAAAATGTCATTTGCAAGACTGCTCTGAATCTGCTTGAACAGCTGACCCTTTTTACACAATAAACATTGCGGAATACTCTCCACTGAAATTTAGTAATAGCATTCGGCTGCATTTATCGCAACTGCATTGAATCTTCTACTTGAACGTTTTACGGCATACCCTAAAGTAACAGATGCATCCATTGTAGTTCCAAATCATTGCCACTTGCAAGCATCAAGTTTCGTCTTTATTTTATAGAAAAGGGGGAGGAGAGAGAAGAGGATTTTGGTTAATACTTAGGTTTATTACCTTGTTTCCCTATTACTTGTTTTACTTGGTTTGGTTCATGGACATAAAGTTGAACTTTGTTCACATTCATTTGACCAGTACCAGACAAAGTTTTAAAATTGTGTCTAATTTTAACTCCACATTTACATATCTCTCCTCGATTCTCTATGGCAAAGTTACATTTTGTAGGATAAAATTGTGTTTGTTCCTGGTTCTTCTCTGAGAACCTACTAGGTTTTTTTTTCACAATACCATGTTTCCAACTTGAAAGAGGTCATTCAACATGTATTGTTTCTACAAGCTTTTGGTGTTACCATTTCAATTTTTGTTTACCTTCCAGGCTGCTATATGGCACTGTTTGCATCACTATGCTTTTAATGATGCAATTTTTCTAGCTGAAAGACTTTGTGCTGAAGGTGAGTCCATGTTTGACTGTCACACCTCACTTCACCATTTCAAGAAACTGAATAAAAGTAGGCTCATCATGTCTTGTTTTCATTTCAGTGGAATCGGATGAAACTCTATTTCTTTTAGCAACATGCTATTATCGTGCTGGGAAGCCAAATCAGACTTATGCAGTTCTTAGAGGGAAAGGAGCAAGCTGCCCTCAATGTAGATTTCTTCTTGCCAAATGTTGCATGGATCTCCAAAAGTTTGTTTCATCTCTTGCTTGGTTTTAGTTGGCTCTCTATTTGTGGTTGGCTTCGACTCAAACCAATTTCTTACTTTGATTTTCAGGTTGTCTGAAGCAGAAAGTGTTTTGACAGGAGGTGATATATTAAATTCAAAGACTTTGGACAAAGTTGTTTCTGATTTTGGTGATCAAGCCTCCTTTGCACTGCAACTTCTAGGGAAAATATGTACTCAAACTGAAAGAGGTTCCTGTGCTGCTGAAGCTTACAGCAAGGTTACTATTATGCTTTTTATCTAATTATGCATCATACTTGTTTCTATGAATGATTTAATTAATCTTGTTCCTTCTTTGTTTTGTAGGCTCTGAACTTAAATCCTTTTCTGTGGCAAGCTTTTGCCGAGCTCTGTAATAGGGGTGAAAAACCAGATCCTCAGAAAACTTTCCAGGTTGAGCACCTAGAAAGTTTGTCTCTGTGCCATGGTAGTAACCCTGTCATTGCTTTGGTTAATAATCGCGATGACAGCACATCACATGTAGGCTCTGGAGGGATGGGCACTGGCAACAGTACTTTTGACTCATCTTTACAAACTGTCAACTCGTAAGTGCATTGTACCAATTTGATTCAAAAATGCTGCTAGATTTCCTCTTACTTCTTTCAGAGGTAAAACTGAAAGTTATGGTAAACCTCAGACTATCTTGGTTTCCTTTGATAAGTTACCAAATGATAGGCTACCTTGGAAACCATAAATTTCTGGGGATCTCTGGCTTATCTGCTAACATACTGTAATTTGTTGTTTCTTTTCAGCACCCCTGTTCAAGTAATCCAGTGCTATCCACAACCACCCCGACTCACATTCACTTCAGATGAGAGTCCTTTAGCAAATCCTTTGCCTTCAACAGGCCCAGTCAAATCATCAAGACTTTTTTCACCATACAGTAGTACATTTAGCCCCCTTACTCCCAGGTATTTTGTTGGACTTATTTCACAAATTATTGTAGGTTTATCATAAATTTTAAATTGATTTTTCTTGGTTTTTTTACTATGTATGTTCTTAGCTTTGGTGTTTTACCTCTTGAATCACCATCAGCAAATGATAGTTTATCATTCATGTCACCTTTACCTTCATCAAACATGCTGTCAGAAGCCAATGATCAAAAAGTGCTTGTAAAGCGTGCAAGTAGACCACGGACACATGTAAGGATGAGTTTATTTTTTAATGGTGCACATTTATACAATTTAGAAGCTGGTTCATTTTGAAATTTATGAATTTGACCATTTCAGCACATATTAAATCGCAAGGAAATACCTCTTCAAGGTAAAGTGTTTTCTCAGTCTGGAAACACTAGTCATGCTACTCAGACCACTGCAGCACCACCCAATGCAACACTTCTTGCAGGCCATCACGGTCAAAACGTCAGACGTAGTTCTAGACTTTTCAGCAGCAACAATTATTCTGTTAAGGTAAAATGCATGGTAGTTACAGCACGATTTCTTTCAAAAGCTGAACAGTACCTTTAACATTTGTTGTCGTTTCTTTTTAATAAAAGGAAAATAATAAGAGTCCAAGCCGCAACAAGTTTGTTACGCCTAAATCACCCTCTCGAAAAACCAAGGCCAGAAATATTTCAAAGGCGTCATTGAGCAATAAGTCAACCTTTACCGAGCTAAATGAAAGAAATAAGGTTGCTAATGTAATGGATTGTGAGAAGGCTGAAACAATTGCTTCTGCTGAGACGAAGCCGAATTTCAATGTCTCATCATCATCAGTTAATGTTGCCCAGCAGGCACTCATTCTTCAGAAACAATCAGCTGGTATACCTTGTTTTCTAATTTCTTGAGGCTCTCTTTGACTTTTCGTCCAGTCTAATGTTGTTGTTGCTTCATGTTTCTTTCTGATCTTTTCTTTTTTATTTTATTTTAGAAGGTCTAATGGCTTTACTAAGGGAAATTGGCACTGCGTATCAACACCTGTCTCAATACAATTGTCGTAAAGCCATTGAATGCCTTGAGGCACTCCCTTCTCAACATTTTAACACTGGTTGGGTGCTCTCATTGATGGGCAAAGCTTATTTTGAACTAAGTGATTTCCAAACTTCTGTCAGGTAGGTTTTATCTACTTGTATGTGAACAGAATGTGACTTTTAATGTAACATAGACAAACCATTGTCACCTTCTGCTATGTTCATTGTCTGTACAAGAATACAGTAGCGTAGCAATACTGTAAGTGGATCACAGACGGAGGCTAGAACAATTTTTAATTTTAATTGATGGAAAAAATATTAATTTTGTTTTAGATACTTCCGTGAGGTGAGGGATCGAGAACCACACAGAACTCAAATGATGGAAATCATGAGTACAGCTTTGTGGCACCTTCAACGGGATGTTGAACTTTCTGCGCTTGCTCAAGAGCTTGTGGAACAAGACAGAATGTCCCCTGCCGCATGGTGTGCAGCTGGAAACTGCTTCAGCTTGCAAAAAGAACATGAAGCTGCCATCAAATTTTTTCAACGGGCGGTGCAAGTAGATCCTAGTTTTGCTTATGCCTACACTTTGCTTGGTCATGAGTATGTGACTACTGAAGAATTAGATCGTGCAATGAGTGCATTTCGCTCTGCTGTGAGATTGGATTCTAGGCATTACAATGCATGGTATGGCATAGGCTCTATTTATTCTAAAGAAGAACAGTATCAATTAGCAGAATTTCACTTTAAGAAAGCACTTGCCATACACCCTCAGAGTTCAGTCCTCATGTGTCATATTGGAGTGGTGAGTTACAACCTAATTGCATTTTGTGGAATTAGTTGTTCAACAATATTCTTATGGCCATGATTTACATGTTCTACAGGCTCAGCATGCTTTACAAAAGGCAGACAAAGCTCTACAAACCCTAAGTGCAGCAGTTGCCAATGATCCTAAAAACCCACTCTGCAAGTTCCATAGAGCTTCTATATTCTTCGCAGCTGGCCGATATGCTGAAGCCTTGAAGGAGTTAGAAGAGCTAAAAGAAATTGTACCTAAAGAAAGTTTGGTTTATTATCTCACAGGAAAGGTATGTTAGCAATCTCCAAAACTATAGCATATATTTTTAGTTGCTTTATTACCCACTCCTCATCGATCTCATTTCTTTTGTTCCTTTCAGGTTCATAAAAAACTGGGTAATTCCCATTTGTCCTTGATGCACTTCAGTTGGGCGACAGATCTTGATCCAAAGGGAGCTAATAGTCAAATCAAGGACGCTATTGACCCTGCCATTAGTCGAAATCTCAGCCAAGCAGACACTTTAGATGACTCCACCCAAACTCATGCTGGTGGGTGTTTTGTCCCAACTGTGTTCTATATCTGTTCTGCTATTTGAATGAGTCTTTAAAAGTTCATAAGTGTCTTATGTTTTGTTTGTATTTCAGAAGAGAACTACCAAAGCGAGGAAAGCTCTGCCCCTGCTCAAGACTCATCTCAGGAAGGTGGGGAGTACTCTGTTATGCAGGGAGGAGGAGAAAGTGATGAGAGTCTCTGACCCCTGCCTAATTTTGACTTTGATCATAATTTTGAAAATTTAGATGTAATGTTTGTTTAAGATATAAACTTCCTTTTTCTATAATTTGATTTTCAATGCCGCGTTTTAGTAGATTGAAAAAACAAATGAACAAGTTTCAGCTGATTATGACAAAGTACCCACAAGATTTTGGCTCAGCTTCTTTTATTACTTACTGTAATAAATAAGTGCCTTCTTCTTCCCCTTTATTTTGTTAATAACCATTGCAGCACGTTCTTGGTAGTTGATTTTTTCCGTCATCATACATTAATGCATGTAAGCTTTCAATTATTCTTTCTCTTTTTATTTCAGACCAAGAAAGCTAAATCAGAATCCCAGGTTCAGTGTTTCTATTAGAAATGGTCTTGACTTAATGTGGAATCATCCAGATCTCAATTCAAGATTTTGGCATAATTAGATTTTTGCTCATGGGAACTTAAGTTTAGTTACAATGATTCCAATATTATTTGAAAATTATGTCTTAAATACAGAGGCCAAACAGTAATGTAAATACCAAGGTTGAAAATAGTGTAAGCACATACTCAAAATATTTTCTAGGTGGTTGTTTGTGCTTCTGACTGAAAATGTGTCTAATAAGTCTTGTAAGGAAGTGTGTGTTGTGGAAGCCTATTCATTGTCTTTAGTACCCAGTTCTGATTCCCTTGTAGATGGCTTTCTATTTGCATAGAACCGGTCAATTATTTTTAAAAATAAATTAGCTTTTTGTGCTGCTTTTTCTGTTATAAGTGAAGTTTGAGACCATGTATTTAACTGTATGTAGATAACTGCCATTTTGATACATTGTGAATAACTACTGTGTGAATGTAAATTTTATAAATACAGACAAATTGTAAATATTCTGTCTATATTTTCAGTGGATGTTGGTCTGAGTACTGATGTGTGTATGTGTGTCTGGGATATCCTGTAAAATTCCCTTGAGTAAGGTCAAGAAAATAAACAGAAAACATCAGTCACAAATTTTACCTCTGGAAATCTATTGACTGACTAATCTGTGACCTCTTATTACTCTGCCTGCACCTCATTTGTGGTGAAATGCTTTTGATATTAATTCTTATGATGTGAACTGTGTCTTAGTGTTAAAAGCAGATTTATTTGTACTGTATATTTTATGAGTTAAAGTTGTTTTTTTGTTTTATTCTAAGTGCTATCAATTCTATATCATAGTTACCTTTAGTTTGTATTTTAAATATCACACATTCTGCTATTTGACTGGTATTTGTTTCTTTGTTTTATCTTGTCGTATCAATTTTCCTTGAACGCCAACAATGAGTAAGTCATCTTTCATTGCTGTGGACCATTTATTTTCTCCTTACCCTCTCATTTTCACTTCTCTACCAGAAACTTCTGTGATGAATTTCTAAGTGGTGTTGGTGTTCATTTCATCAAGAATTCCTCATCGTTCTGGTTGTGTCAGCTCGTAACCATGTACTTAAATAGTGTGCTTTAGTAGGTATGCATGCAACTTGCAACTTCTCAATTTGGATGTTTTGTTTACCTCAATTGTTTTCTGGTAAAATCATCTTACTTTTTGACTTGTGGAGCATTCACGTCACTGGGTGAGACAGTATTGTGGTTAAATTTAATGTAAGTTTTGAGGTGCCAAGACTTTTGTATCAGAATTTTGTTTTTGACTACACTGCTTGTGAAACTTGAAATAGTATGGCAAACAAGCAGAAACATTTCATCAGGTTCAGTCACATTGGCAGTTGAAGTATATTTTTGAAAATGCAGTCATATACTCTTACCAACTTTGTGATGCAATTGTAGTGTGCTTCATAGCAGAATTAAAGTAATGAATCTCCATCAAGTTATTTATGGGTACGTTTCATTTATTTGTGGTTAATTTGTGCTCCGTCCTTTATTGGTTGCCTGGATTACAACACCTGTACCCCATTCCCGTTGATGCCAAAAAAAAAAAAAAGAAAGAAACTATCTTTACCTTGTGTTTTCTTACAAAAGCCTGTTTAGTCAAGATGGCTACTTGAATGTGGTTTGTGACAATCCTGCTGTTGTTACAGAACCTTCTTCTGTACTACATTTCATACTTTGATGCTTGCTTAGTTTCTCTTTGATAGTCTTTCATATAGTGATGCAGTCTAATTTTATAAACTTTGGAACAGGCTTTTTTAGCTCTTCACCAGAGAGAGCCTTAATTGCATTGAGCTACCCTCTGATGCCAATACCAAACTCATGCTAAAGTCTGAGCCGCAGAACTGGTGTGTTTCTCCTGTCTCCTTTTGCAATTTTCTTTGTGTCACGGTCCAATCTGCTTGAGGCAAATAATTCAGAAGGAAGAAAATTTCGGTTTTAAGTAGATTTTGTGGTAACAGTGAGCTTTTGAAATTTATCTTATCCATAGGAACATTGTTGAGGTTTATTTATTAGAAAGAGAATTTTGTCATTTGGGGGTTTCACTTACAGCGAATTCGACTGTGTTATTATTTTATGAGTGTAAAAAAGTGCATTATATGTGATTCTAAATTTAGTTGTTGCTTTTTTTTTAAATTGTATTAGCTGATGTTATGTTACTTGAGTATTTATTTGATTCAGACAGAAAATAGTTGAGGCTATCTGTAACTTCTAAACTTTTTTAGAAAGTTGTATGCAGAGCTTTGATGTAAGTACTTAGAATTTGTAGCCTGCACTGCGTTCTTTTGTACAGAAGGAAATAATAAAAATAAAATAAATATACAACTAAAAGAATTGTAGTTTATATAAAAATAAGACTGCACATATAACATGATCAAGAACATAATTGAAAACTTATCTTAATTTGAGAAATTCCACAACTTCATCCACAACGGAGTTTGCAGAATAAAGACAATTATCAAATCCAGATCCTGTAAAGGAATCACCTCCACTTATCAGGAGTGGTTTCTTGAGAATGACGGCGCACCCACGGTTTCCCGGAAAATTTGTTGTCACCTTTATTGGGTGATAAAAGAAGGAGCTTGAATAGTTTTGAGGGAAACAAAACCAATATGAGACCGGAGAGATGCAATGAGAGCACAACACTTACCTGAGAATATCGCCATTTGTGGCACTTGACTGCTGCTGGTTTTGGCCAACCTTGGAATAAGTTTTTATATTCTGCAAGCAGCACTGGCTCCATTTCAACCAGAGTATTTTCTAAATTTTCTTTTCCATATTGAATGCTTGAGTGAAAAACAGCAGCCGGTGGCTGCTCAGGTCTATTTCTTTTCCTATTCTCAATAGCTACATAACGGAAAACTGGATGGCCATCTATGTATTTAGCTGCCCACGGTTCATGTTGTCCATCGCCACTGTTAAAGTACAAAGCAAGTGCATATCGGGAACTGAATTTTACTGCTTCGAATCCAGTCCGCAAATCTTGTTGATTGTTGATCAAGTCTGGCAAATCTCCTGATAACTGGAGTACTTGGGGTGCTGGAAGTGTGAGAATGACTACATCAAATTCTTCCTTTGTGCCTGTTGTAGTTTCCACCTAATGCAACAAACAACACTTACATAAATAACACCATAATAACACAAAACAAAATATTCCTAACAAGTTTTCTGATGAAGAGAAAAAATGTTACCTGAAGTTTTTCACCCGTTTTATTGATAGCAGTTACATGATGTAAGAACATGGTAGCATCAGGAGAACTCAATCCAATAAAATATTTGACGAGAGAACTCATTCCATTGGGTGTCACAAAATGCTGCGTACCAGAAGGGAATTCTTTCAGGCCTTTGACAGCTCCAACAGACATTGGTTCAAGTATGTGCTTGTCCAAAAGATTCCCATAGATCTCTCTAAAAAGTAAACTCAAGTTGAAAAATACATTTCAGCACAAACCATGTTTTAAAAATATGGGGATGTTTGCAAGAAATTATCACAAAACAGCAGAATGAAGCTCTAGGAATATTTACCTATTTTTTTCAAAATTTTCCGGCAAAACAGTAATGTACTGGGCTCCTAAATCAGCAATACACTCTGCATCTCCTGGGCTGCGGGAAGTACCCATTCTTCCACCTGCCCCTCGAGCTTTGTCCCAGATGGTCAAAGAAATCTTTTCTCTCATTTTTTGACGAAGCAAGGCCCCTGTAACGGCTGCTGTAATTCCGCTTCCAACAAGCAGCACTTTACGGGCCATTTTTTTTTCTGGATATTCAAGAGCTGAGGGAAGACCATAAACAGTGGAGTAAGGGGATACTGTTTCCGATAGAACCCCAAATGGATCCTGATTTCATCTGGGTGCTGTCATCCTTTTATAGCTCTCACTAACAGCTGTTAGTCGTACTTTATAAATAAGAGTTTGTCACTTAATAACATTTTTTGAGTATGTGCGAACTTGAATATGAAATGGCTCAAAGGCAACACACTTTATTTCGAAATACGAATGGATTACCTTACATCCCAACTAACGAGCAAGGCTTTTATGTCGGTGGCTTCATCCACCTTGAGAATAAGTTATCGAGATGGGGCTTATCTTTATCAGCTAGTTGAGAGTGATTATAGATAGTAAATGCATGTAGCTAAGAAGTGGTTTACTTTTCTCGTATGAAGGAATCCAAGATCAGATAAAACTCGACAGTCATCAAGATTCAGCTAAACGGCGCGAGGAAACTGTAACAGAAAGAGTGAAACGAGACAACAACGAACAAGTATATGTCCGTCTTCAACCCGTCCGTCGACTCGTCGCGACCAAGTCGACCCGTCCGTCCGTCCCGTCACTTCGCAGTCGAGTGACTGGGTCACTCGGTCACTCTGGTCACTGGTCACTCGTTGTCTCTCTCTCTCGCACTCACGGCTCCCGACACAGGTTGACAACAACAAAACATTTTAAGCAGCAAAATTCCCAACATAAGTTGCAGTAGTAAACTCAATCCGAAATCAAGACTTCAAAAGAGAATTCACTGTCGACGCAAAATGACACGAAGATAATTCTAGGCGCCTTCCTCAGAAAATTCACTTTGAAATGTAGTTCTTGAGCTCCAAGGTGGGAGGATTAATTTTGATTGTTTCGGTCGCCGGGCTTGCCGGGGAAGCAGAAGACGTGACGTACAGACCGACATTGACATTGTTTACACTAACGTTACATACATACACTGAACCTCCCACAATACCGACATACCGCCCTTCTGCATCTGTTTGGCAGAGTTGTGGCTGTCACTGAAAGAGGCTCGCCCGTTAGAAAATATAGTCGTGCTCACATCGAAGATGCAGAAGCACCAGCATGAAAAGTCTGATTTTTTGGAGAAATCTGAAGTTGGTTCAGTGTTGCTTTGTGACAGCAGCCAACGATTATCGGATCCTAACAATGACTTCGTTTTCTTCGATCTTGAGGTTGATTCAGCTCCCGGTGAGATATATGACATGACCTTTGATCCTTCTTCGCATCTTCTTTGTCGTTTCTCTTATATGACTAGAGAGTTATCGTTTACTATTATTTGTTGCATTTCTTTTCTTGTTGCAGTTGGAAGAGTGGTGTTTAGGCTTTTCAAAAGCATTGCTCCTAAAACATGTGAAAATTTTCGGCAATTATGCGCCAAATCCCCAGCAGGAAGCTCAGGCAAAATTCTGTCGTATAAAGGAACTATAATCCACAAAAGTAAGAGACTTGAGACTGTTCGTCACTATCCATTGTCCCAACTGCAATCCATTACATATGATGTTACATTTTCAAGCCTGAAACTACACAAAACACCTGCGAGGCCTTGCTGATGCATAAGTGTTCTGTGTTCCTTATGTTTCGTATTTGACTGATATCGCTATTTTTCCCTCTCAGTAAGTCACAGTTTTATGATCCATGGTGGAGATGTGGTAAACTTTGATGGCTCAGGAGGAGAAAGCATCTACGGCCCTACCTTTCAGGATGAAACCTATGAAGTTGAGGTATGCCACTATCAACACAAAAAGAATGTGAATTGATTCTTTTAGATTGTAGAATGTCAGCTAGCTTTCAAAACTCACTTTGTGTTCCTCTGATGATGGCCCTGTCTTTATTCTTAATTACCAGCTAGAACCAGGTACTCTTGGAATGGTGAATAAAGGAATAAAAGACAGTAATTCATCTCAGTTCTTCATATGCTGTGATAAATGTCCACACCTGAAAGGAACGAATGTTGCTTTTGGCAAAGTTGAGAAAGGTTTTAAAATAATTGAAGAAATTAGTAACCTTCCAAACAGAGATGGCATTCCATTAAAGAAAGTTGTTGTGAGGAACTGTGGAGAACTTGAAGCAAATCCCGAAACTTGGCACTATGAGGAGAATGATGGCTTGGACCAATATCCCCCTTACCCGGAGGATTTGGAAACAAGCCCTGATGAATCGTCTGACGAATGGGTAATAAATTGTTCTGTACAAGATGCAGAGTATAAAAATGCATCTCAAGACACAGCTTTTAATAATTATTATATTTTAGGCAAGAGAAATGTCCAACATTGTTGAAAACATAAAGCTACGTGGGAATCATTACTTTAACTCAAAGAAGTTTGAAAAAGCACTGAGTAAATATACTAAAGCTGTCCGTTACTTGATGTGGTAAGTGTAAATTTAGGAACAACTTGAAACGACGATCCTTTAGCAACCTGATATATGTTACCAAAATTTGTGATAACAGATAAGAAGTATGTTACATCTCTTTACTTTTAAAGTTGATTTCTTCTAAAGAATAAACATTCAGAGTGGTTGTAGTGCCTACATCTTCCAAGAAGGAAGAAATAAACCTCGCCACCATATTAATTATTCCTGTTTTTCTGTTTTTGATCAGGATTAAAGGCAAAAGGGAAGATGTGTATAACAATTGCACAAATCTATTGGTTTATTGCCTTTCAAATATGGCCATCACCAATATTAACTGCCAGAACTTCAGACCTGCTCATCAGCTGTGCTCGCAGGTAAAGTGTTGTCTTCATTCCCATGCAACAGAGATGAAAAGGGGTGTAAAAGTACGATAGTCAGACACACTTTAATTGGGTTTATTTGCATATAAAGTGCCTATTCTTTGTGTTAAGGCTGTTTTAGTCACCTATTCTCAGACCCTTTCCTCTATCAGTTTGTTGTGTCACAAACCTTATTTCTGAAACATTAAATTGAATGTTAACTTTTTCATTTGTGAACATTTTAGGTACTTGAATTGAAACCCAACAATGCAAAAGCATTTTACAGAAGAGGACAAGCAAATTTTGGCCTTCATAATTATGATGACGCTCTGAGAGATCTAAAAGAGGCCCAGACAATGGAGCCACGAGATAAAAAAATTTACCAGGAAATTATAGAAGTTACAAATGCTATGAAACAGTCCAAGGCGGAAGAAATTAGGCTGTGTGCCAACATGTTAAAATAACTTTTAATTCATCTTCCTGTAAAGAAAAAAAAATCTGGTGGATGTGTGCCTTTTAAACTTTAAAAGACGATCAAATGTGTAATTTTCCTCTTCTTGTGAATTTTGATCCTCCTCGGTTTTTGTTTTGCATTAGACAAACAGGAAAGATATATTTTTACAAAAAGTAATTTACCATTATGTTGTATTTGTGTTTTGTTTCTACTTGTCACATATTTGTTTCTATTTTTCTTATTTTGTATCTTTTATATTTAATGAACCTAAACTGTCCATGTACGTAGGTACTTGGATCCATTGGGGATCCTTTCTACCTCCTCCTCTGTCTACTTTTGCTCCGCAATGTACATCACAATTTAATAGGACAATTCTTGCTGTTTCTTATTTTGATTCGATATCCCTCAAATCAAGAAGACAAAAGCAAATTCAGCACATTTCCCCCCCTCCCCCCGAAGAAAGGTAAATAAAATATACTCCTTTAATAAACAGTTCAAATTCTAGCGCCGTTACAGTAGGTCAACATAACAAACAAAATATCCCTTGTGATACAACATTTTAAAATGAACATTGTCATTGCCGCGGAAAATCTCAAGCCGAACATATTTATATAAGACTGAAAGTTAACAATAAGGACACTGAAATCTCGCTCTTGCTCCTCATCGAGTTAAACCTAGGTAAACCTGCGACCAACCTAACCAACCAGTAACCAGCAGCTGTTCGGGTTCGGGTTGTGTGTGTTGTCTGTGTTGTGGGAGTCGGTGTCGGTGTCGCTCTTGCAGTTTGAGCCCTTGAAATAATTATGACTAATCCTATGGACATCATCACAACTCCCAAAGTAAGTTATGCACTTAAGGCAATACTCATTTTAAAGCCTCTGATTGAGGAGTTACTAACAAAATCAACTGTTAGTGTTGTTCATATGTAACAATATGCTCATAACCTAAAAGTATGGTCACCTGTAAGAAAGGTTGTTGTGACACTTCTGTACTTATCGAGTATCATCTGGTGGGGTAGATTGTGTGTTATCGGTTTTTCCATGACTGATCTGATCTATTAGTAGTGGTATGGCTACTAATAATGAGGTGTACAAAAGTGAGGTTGTTGAAATACAGGGGAGATAGTGCATCACTCTAGTTTCTGAAGCAAAGAAATATTCAAATTTGTTTTCTAAATGGGATGTCCTATGTTTTTTCTTACAACCCGTCATTGTTGGAATAGATTGATCCAATGAGGTATTTCTTTTTCTTCTTCTTTCGGTCGAAATACCTCATTCTCTCTAAATTACAGCAGTAAGTTTGAAATTAAATTTTACATCAATCTCTGGAGGATCAGTTTTTCGTTTTTTAGTACACGTTCGTTAACGCCTCGAGGGTCCTCGTTTTGATGTAAGTCACAGTTCACTGAGGCCCTGACTCCCTGCGTGCAAGGAAAGGGAAGAGTATGCTATACCAAAGCTGTGGGAGCAAACCCACCCCCTCCTCCTCCCCCTTTTCGTCCTCTGGCAGGGAACGCAGTTCGCGGATTTCCCCAACTCACACTGGGCAATGATAGCACGGGCTGGGGCTCATTCTCATTCCTGAACCGTTTCTCGTGCACGCCCATCCACCTCGCTCCGAGCAATCCGCGCGTCGCCTCTTGGAGGAGCGCCTCGTTGCGCATCTCCCCGTTTCTGAGATTCCATCCAACGCACTCGGCCAATCATAGCGCAGGGATGCGCCGACGCGTGCCGCGTTAATTTAACAGCGCTGGACTTCCACTGCGTCGCCCCTTCGGCCGCCACGCTGCCGGGCTCGGTGTAGAAGCCTGGCTGTCCCACAATCATGATCGCGCTTCCTGGCACATTGCTAACGAAAATTTTGGCTCGCGCCAATCGGAAACCGAGCGAGTGTCACGGTTTGAGCAACGCCATCTCACTCTCACGATAGATAGAGATGGCGTTATCCAAAACCGAGACGCTCGCTCCGTTTCCGATAATTTGGTTTGCCTGGCAGTCCCCCAAGGCAGAAAGGGACCAGAACTTCCCTCCTCGGCGGCGACCCTGAACTGCCGTGAACCCATCGTGGTGAATTTGCCTCTCCTTTGCCAAGAGTCATTGCTGTGTGACGGGCGTTCGGCGTCAACGCCATCGAGAGCGTCCGTGCCTCGCAGAGTGTCGCAGTGCGCCGCGCACTGTGTGAGATAGTGGTTGCCATGCTGGTGCACTGCATGCAGGTGGTGCGCCCTTGGCGCTTGCCCCGCCCCCGGCCGCCGGCCCTCTGCCCTCTGCCCCTACATCGGTAGTCGCCCCCGCGCCGCCCTGCGGTTCCCACCCCTTCGCAGCCCTTCGCTACTCCTCCGTCCGCAACCCCCTCCCCTCTTGGCAGGGCTGCTGGGCCCCGCGTGGCCCCGCGCTGCCTGGCATGCTAGGCTGGCAGGGCTGGCGTGGCGGGCTGGGCTGGCCGCTCAGTCGATAGCGGTCTGGTGCCGCAGCGTGGCGGCGGCGGAGCGGCGCAGCGGCGGCGGGCGTGGTGCTTTGCGGACGGAAGGGGGCGTCGCGAGGGGCGTCGCGAGGCGCACGCCAGCGGCTAACGCCGTCTCAGCTGACCTCGCATCGCCATCGTCGCGGTCACCCATTCGTTGTCGACGCGCTGGGCCGCCCTGTCCGCGTCAGGGACCCGCTCTGATTGGTTCCTGATTGGTTCACGTTGCGCCAACTTGTCGACGCCGAGAGGCCCCAGAGTGAGGCGAGACCCCTGACGACCGTGATTGCTCCCCAAACGGCCCCGAAGAGCGCCGAAGGGGCTTTCTGCGCGGCGCTACGCACGTGGCCGTCGAGGGGTGCTTGGCGCGCTCAGCGCCACGGCCGCGTTGACTAACTGGACTCGGACCCTGCCGCGAAGAGTCAATCATTCGTCGGACCTCGTCGCGCGAGCCCGCCATGGCATGTCCAGCATCCTGAGTCGCCTTGCGAGCATCGCCAGCATGGACAGCTCCGTGGCAGGCCACATGGCAGGCCCTGGTGGCTGCCTGCCCACGTCGACGTCGAGCACGCCATCGAACCCCCCAACGCCTCTGCAGTCGCCACTCGAGCCGTGCGCGTCTCAAGCAATGGGCGGCCAGCGCGGTTCCGTGGCCTCGGTGTCGTCCAACACGTCGTCGTCGACGCAGTCCGTGCACTCGGCCTGCGCCAACCTGCCGGGGTCGCCGTCCATGTACGGACGCATCCGATCTTGGATCCTCGCGGACACCAGCGACCAGCCCGAGACGTGTCGCGGGGAGCCCGTCACCAGGAAGGTAATGCCTTGCATAAAGCCTTGCAGTGCACCGCATGCGGTGCTGCGCGACGGCAACCCCTGGGCAACCTCCGCGGTGGCCTCCCTGACACCCGCCTCCTGGCCTTCGCCTCCTGACAATGTCTCCTGCCCCTCGCCCCCTGACGCCCTCCTCCTGAACGCTCCTAGACCGATTCGAGAGTCGTTTTCGTCACTGTGTCTCTCTCGCACCCATAAGAACGCCCCATGAGTGCGAGAGAGACAGAGCGACGAGAGCAGTGCTCGGAATCAGCCTGCTGGCCCTCGCCTCCTGACAACGTCTCCTGCCCCTCGCCCCCTGACGCCCTCTTCCTGGCCATCGTACCTTGACAACCGCCTCCTGGCCCTCGTACCTTGAAAACTGCCTCCCGGCCCTCGCCCTGCCCTCGCCCCCGACGCCTGCCTCGCCTGGGCCCTTTCCGCCCTGACACCTCCCTCCTCTCCTGGCAGCCGGCTCCCTCCGCCACGTGTTCGATTCACTGACCCCGAGCGGACCCAATACCGCCCCAATACTCCCCCTGCACGTCCTGGCGTCGCCCGGCCGTTCCAATAAGCCGCGGGCCTCGCTCGTGCTGCCCAAGGAATGGGGCTGCCGGGCTCCAAATACGGTGGGGCCTGAACGGTTGTGACTGCCAGTGACTGTCCGTGACTGTTTCGGAGGCGTACAGTGACTGTTAGTTACTCGAGCGTGAACGCCCTTTGCGTGCTGGAGTGGCCGTTGCCCGCGGCCGGTGACGACACCCATCCACCGCTCGCCCCGCCGGGTGGGGGAGCATGCAGGAGCATGGCGGAGCGCGGCGAGGGTGTGAGTGCGACGCGGTACAGAAGGGGGAGGGGGCTGTGTTATTTCACGAGGCGTGCCGCTTATTCATTCTGCCAGGCAGTTTGGAGTGCGCGGTGCGCGTTGGGCAACTTTGCAAACGAGTTTGGGGGGAGCGCCAGTCCGGCCAACCCTCGCGCCCACGCCCCGCCCGCGACGGCACGCTTTGCATGACAAGGGCACGCCCGCCCCCGCCTTGCGCAAATATTTAGCTCGGGGTGGAGTGGTGCTCAGCGAACCCATCTGGACGGTGGAAGCCGCCATCCGGGACCAAGTCCGCGACAGCCAGGCACCTTTCATCTCTCGTGCAGCGCGCAGCCCAAGGCGCAGCCCCGGTGGCGGATGCGGCGGGCTAGGCACGAGCGCCCGTGAAGCCGAGGGTAGGCAACCCGCCACGCTGGGGCGTTCTACGGGACGGCCCGCGCACTCAGGCGCCATGGCGAACGCGTTCTAGAACGCGTTGGTGCTTCGTTGGAGGTTATGCCTTGGCCTGGCTCTGGCTCGTCGCTCGGGCCGTTCCGCCCCTGGTCGTTGCGTCCTGATGGGTTGTAATCCACACCGGTGGCAATAACACCCCCTCCCCGGCCGCCCCTCAACAGCCGCCCACGCGGCCGTGTGGAATTGAATCAACCTGCGTCGGCGGCGCTGACGGCGCCGACGCTGACGGCGCTGACGCTGACGGCGCTGACGCTGACGGCGCTGACGCTGACAGTCGCGCTCGTCGCGTTGCCAACACGGCATCCGTGCGGCCGGGCCGAGGCCCGAGGCCTTGGGATGGAGCTGGAAGAGGGCGAGAAAGGTGTTGACTTGACATGTTCGTGTCGGCCGCCTCGCTCCAGTAACTTTCAGCTGAGGTCATCTGAAATTGGCAAAGTTGTTTACTGCCGCAGAAATCTCGGTTTCACCAGCGTGCGCCTCGGAATCTGGGCCAGCGTCTCTGTTTTAGGCCCAGTTGGAGCTATTCCTCTCATCTCTGCGAGAGGAAGCGAGATAACGCTAGTCAAAAGCCTCCAAGCCGTGTGTTTGTTTTCATTACATCATGATGGTTGAAACCCCTCTCCCCCCCCGCTAACTTTTCAAGTCAAATTATTTCCAAGTCATGAACAAATTGATGTGTTTTGTCTGCCAGCTGTTTTTCCCACGCCTTTCTTCGTAAGGAATTGGTGTTTCCGAGGCGCACTGAGTGAAACCGAGATTTTTGTTTACCGTTCCGTTTCGCCGCGGTCCCCCCGCCATCTCATGGACTGGGTTCCACTTGGGGTATGAGTGACTTATAAGCAAGGCAGACTAGGGGCGGGGCAAGGGGATGCATGCATCGAGGGAATCGATCGGGGATGGGGACTGCCCGAGGGACTGCCTCGCTCGCGAGCTCGCCCACCTGCGTGCCGCGCCCTACCACAAGCCGTCGCACAAGATATTTCTTATTTTTAGCTGCGCATCAGACCGGCGTCACTGCCAGGCGCTCACCGGCGGCAGTTTCAGTTTTTTTCTTCTTCAGGTTTTCCCCCGGTGGCTGTAGCGTCACCAGAGCGCCCAGGCAATCCCGCCGAACGCGCGTGTCTTGAAGACCGGCGTCACTGTCAGGCGCCTCCCAGTGGCGTAACTAGTGCGCCCGTGCGTCTTGCCCTGCCGCTGTCTGCTCTGTGCACCTCGTGAACGACTAGCGATGGCCGTGGACGGTTGAAAGTCAAACAGTTGCCTCCCTTTCTTTCCGAGCCTTCGCTTTGCAACTGTTAGGAGTGTTGCCATGCCGTGCTGGCTCCATGCTGGCTCCGCAGGACCATCGGGCCGAACCTGCTGCCCGCTGAGCCCGCCCCTGCCGGTCCCAGCCGAACCGGGGTCTCGATCTCGATCCAACTGGAAACGTGAGGCGACGTTCGAATGAAGCATCCTCAAAGAACAGCCCCCCCCCCCTTTTCCCTCCCAGTTCCGGTGCTGCTCTGGTGCGCGGGGGACGGGGGATGGGATTCCCTCGCTTGATGGCACGAAACACTCGTCGGGATTGGCTGAGCGCGCCTCGACTCGACAACTTGGGAATGGGATGAGGCGCGCTTGGCGAGGCGAGACTAAGGGATTGCCTTTCTTGTGGGAAATTACCGCCTCGCTGCCCTCCCCAATGCCGCTGTGGCCGCTCTAGCTGCTCCCCTCCCCATGCGACCTCGCCGGCCTCGCCCCTGTCGTGCCCTGTCGTCTTTGCCTTTGCCAGCCGGGGCAGCGGCGGCGACAGCGCTCATTTCCAGTAGGGCTGCTCGAGTCTGCTGGAGGCTCAGCTGGAGGGGCGGATAAAAAGGAGGTCCTCTGTCGCGGCGCCGCGGCTTGGGGTGGCGCCGTCGTGGCGGGGTGGGCGGGGTGGCGGGCAGTGCCTGGTCTGTAAGTTGGCTACTGTTGAGGGGTCCGAGCCGAGGGTGACCTTGGTGGCGAGCAGCGGAACGAGGCGGGGCGGGGGCGGGCGCCAGACCCGAGTCGCCAACCGCTCGCGCTCCCCCTGCCGCCTACCCCAATCTGCCGCCCTATCTCGCATCTGTTTACACTCTCCTAGCCTTTGCCGGCATGGCGGGGCAGGCTAGGCACTAGGCAGCCGAGGTGGCGGGGGCTTTCCGCAGCTAGTGATGGCCGCTCTTGCCTCTGCTCTCTGTTCCAGGTGGAGAATGTGCGCATGCTGGATCGGTACAACATCAGGAAGCCGTCCCTGGGCAACTTGTTCCTGACCACAACTCACCTCATGTTCTTCGATTCAGAGAACAAAAAGGAAACATGGGTAAGTTAAATATGTGGAAATTGGTGTGTATTTTTCTTTTCTGGAGAATACTATTAGAAGCCTTGTCCTCTTTCAGATTCTTCATATGCATATTGGAAGTGTAGAGAAACTACCACTGACCACCGCTGGCTCTCCTCTTCAGCTGCGCTGCAAAACGTTCCGATCTGTTACCTTTGTTTTGCCCAGGGAAAGAGATTGCCATGAAATATTCACGTCATTGCAGCAACTCAGTCAACCTGGTTATTATCATTATTTTTATTATTGTTATTATTAGTAGCAGTAGTAGTGGAAGTAGTAGTAGTTGTTGTATTTTATTGAATTTTAATGGTATTTCACATTTTGTATTTTGTTTGTGATCTCTAATATACAATATACTTTGCAGTTCACATGGAAGATTTGTATTGCTTCAACTACTTGTCAAGTACAGAGAGTCCTCCAAAATCAGCTGGGTGGGGTACATTTGATATGCAGGCCGAGTTTAAGAGAATGAATGTACCTAATGACCAATGGAGCACCACTTTGCTGAATAAAGACTATGATGTCAGTAACATTACACCTGTTTTTTTAAAAACTCTGTTGTTAATTACATATTTTACAACTAACTGGATTTTGTTTATCTAGCTGTGCGACACATACCCTCGCAACTTGTATGTTCCTCAGTCAGCATCCACCAACATTCTGTTAGGGAGCTCCCAATTCCGCAGTAAGGGCCGGCTACCAGTATTGACATACCTTAACCACAATAAAGTATGTACTTTGGGTTCTGAATCAATTCTGTTTGTCTGTACCTGCTTTTTTTTTGCCGTGTCGAGAATGAGTTACATTGATGAAGTTTTCTTTTAGGCTGCTCTGTGCCGCTGTAGTCAACCTTTGTCTGGATTTAGTGCACGTTGTCTCGAGGATGAACAGATGCTCAACTGTATCCTGCGTACAAATCCAAATTCATCACATATGTATGTTGTGGACACTAGACCAAGAGTAGGTATTGTCTCTTTATTGTCACTTACAATTAATATAATTACCATATCCTAATTTGGAATTTGATTTGGCAGATAAATGCAATGGCTAACAAAGCAGCTGGTAAAGGGTATGAAAATGAAAATTTCTATGAGAATATCAAATTCTATTTTTGGGGCATTGAAAACATCCATGTCATGAGGGCTGGCTTAGCAAAGCTGTTAGAAAGTAAGAAATTGAAATACTAGGCCTCTGCCAGAGTGAAATATGAACTTTTCTATGTCATTCAATAATTTTTTTTTTGTATTTTACAGCATGTGAATTGAAGTCTCCCTCCATGAACAACTTCTTAAGTGGCCTGGATTCAAGTGGATGGTTAAAACACATCAAGTCCATTTTGGATACATCTTGGTTCATCGCTAATGCTTTGGATAAAGGAATAAGTGTTGTAGTCCATTGTTCAGATGGGTGGGACCGAACAGCTCAAGTCTGCTCTCTGGCAGCCCTGCTATTGGATCCCTATTATCGTACCATCAAAGGATATCAGGTATGATTAAGATTCATTTCAAAACAAATGTTTTCTTTGTTTATTATACAGGATTGCGCTAATTGGAAAAAAAATTATCTTTCTTTTAAGGCTTTGATTGAAAAGGATTGGTTGGGATTTGGCCACAAATTCAGTGAAAGAATTGGTCATGTTGCTGGTGATGCCAAAGAAATATCACCTGTCTTCACCCAGTTTATTGATTGTACATGGCAACTCATGTGTCAGCAGCCTGCCGCTTTTGAATTCAATGAGCAGTTTCTCTTCACACTTCATGATCACGTTTCATCTTGTCAGTATGGTACTTTTATTGGAAACTGTGAAAAAGACCGCATAGACTTGCGGTTACACGAGCGCACCTTTTCATTGTGGAACTACATGACAAACCATAAAAATGAGTACCTGAATCCATTGTACTCTCTCGAAGCATGCCCAAGAGTTCTGACTCCAATTTTGGCTCCTCAAATCATAAGGTTAGATGGAACATCTTTCAGTGAAAGTTTGCAGTAAATCAGTACAAAGTAGTTCACTAATTCCTTCATATATTTTTATAAACCACAGATTCTGGCGAGACATGTACTGCCGGTTTGAAAATGATGTTCATCCGAGGGAACCTCTCAGTGATTTATTACTTGCTACTTGTGATCATAGCAGTTCTCTAGAAGATCATGTCAAGTTACTTCAAAAGGTGAGAGTACTTGATCAGTACTTACTTTTTATTTACCTGTTGAAAGCAAATTTCCATTAATTTGATTCATTGAAATGGGTGTTATTAAAATGTGTTTGTTACTTACAGAGAATTTCTGCCTTGAAGCAACAACTTGCAGATGATAGTGGGGAGAAAGAAAATTCTCTAGAAAACACTGAAGCTGTTGTTGACAACAAATATCTTTATGAAAAGGTAACATTGACTGAATAGTGTGTACGATATTTCACGGGAGCCATATCCAACGCTATTTCTGACTCCCTGTGCTTGCTTTCAATTTTACCAGGCATCCGGTATTAATGAAGAAATCAAGTCACCGAGTCTGGAAGGCAACAAAGATTTGGTGAAGGTTACTTCTCATCCTCTCAGTGCATCTTATGAAAATGGTGAATTTTTGTTTATTCATTTTTGTTTCTGTTTCATATGTTTTTTTTTTTAAATCTTAAACTTAATATTTGAAATAATTTCAGGTCTGAATAATCTTATAACTGCTGATCAACTCTCAGAGGAAATGAAGTCAGTCGCTCTCGACTGGAAAACTCTAAGAAACATAGAGGAGTGTTCTTGCTCTACTCCTTTTGATCACTTCAGCCGGAAAGTAAGTGTCCTCAACACTTCAGAAATGGATTTTTATATTTTTTAATACTGATCTCAACATTTTTCATAATATCTATACTTTTGTTTCAGCATCACTGTTGGAAATGTGGAGATGTATTCTGCACACGCTGCATAGACAAAAATACAGCACTCCCTGGGCACCTTAGTCAACGTGAAGTCCCTGTTTGCCGACCATGTTATAGACAAGTTCTTCGCTCCAATTCCATTGAATCTCCCTAATGGAGAAGTTGGCGAGTCTATTTAAAGGAGTTTTGTATTCCCCAGATATTTTTTCTTGAGGTGCTCTACAGTATATATTTATTGCTTGAGATTTAGTGTTAAAAATCCAGGCTCATAGTATGCTGCTGTTGTTGTATTAAATATTTTATAAAAGTGTACATTCAATTTTGTGGTTAAGTCCCACCTTTATATGTTTAGTGATTCATTGTAATGAATGGAATACCTCATAATTGACTTGTCTTTAGGTTATTTACTTTTTTTGTGTATTTGTTTGTATCTTCATTCCAAATTCAAATTATGCAGGCATTGCAAGCCACAGTTAATGTACTGTTGGCTTTTAATTCTGTGATAGTGCCTTTGTGATAGATATATGTTTGTAAATTTTAGCCAAAGTGGCAGCTGATTTTTAAAATTTTTATTGTGTTGTTGGAAACTGGACTACATGAAGGCGAAGCCCAAATGTATGTCAGTATATTTATCTTGACCTTCATACCAAAGTGCGTAGGGTAACTAAGTCACCTGTATGAAAGGTGCAGAGTATGTGAGAAAAAAGAGTAGATTTGATCCATAGTTATTTTAGTGAATTTTGGACTTGTTTGAGGAAAAGAAGAATCTGCTATTGCCCCTTCAAAGTGTGCTTCTTTTATCATGGTTCCTATGAAATTACTTTTAAAGTTATCAATGTCAGTGCACAGTGTGCTCTAGTAATAGAGGCCCTCTTACCAAAATATTGTCATGACAATAAGTATTAAGTATTAATTTTAACTGCTTCTGTATGGTCCAACTTCTTTTGCTTCTTCTGCCAATGTGTCTTGCATTAATCATGTCCATGTCTGATTCATTGAAGGAGTAAAATTTAATTATCTAATTATCAGTATTTCTAACCAACGTCCGTTTTTAAATAACAGAAGCTGAACTTCTCCCCCATTTTATTCAAATATTGTTAGAGACCAGAGATGATTACGCTTTTATAAACCAGTTTCATCATTCCTGTGAGGACGCGCATTTTTGTCTCATTTTGAAGGCATTGGCCGTTTTGTAATGCAATAGAGTTCTGAGTGTTTGAGTACTGCCAACTGAAAATATAATGTGTTATTTCCTAAAAGCAAGAATAAGAACAGACGATTCCCTCCAGCAAAATTTCTTGTACCTAGAGTTGTTTTCATTCATTTTCTTTTATTTGTTTCATGGCAAGGATGTTTGCCTTTTGAGTGTGGAGTAAAGCGAACTTCACCCAGAAATTTGTGATCAGACAGAATTCTTACCAACACTTGTGATTTTGAGTATGAATCGTGTTGCTGCAATAAACTGTCTTAGATGCCTACTTGGCAGTTGTGACCTCATTTTAGTCCTTTACTCTGCAAATTATTCGGTCCGCGGACCGCACTCGCCAATGACGCCAGCCGGGTGACCCGCTCAACGTCTTCCCCTTCCACATTCCACATCCACATTCGCACCAATCCATATCGTGCCACGCGCCTTCTCTTGGAGTCAATGTTGGAGTGCTTTGGAGTCTGAGTCAAGTCCGGCGGTTCGTTCCTGGAAGGTGGCCTCGAGGTGAAACGCAGAGGCACTGTGAATGCAAGCAGCACGATCGTACGTGGACTTTGCCCGGGGGGATTTACGGCCCGATTCTCGCGCTCGTTCGCGCTCCATTTTAGACTACTTTCCTATACTTTCCGTGAGAGGACGCGTCGTCTGTCATAGTGACCGCCAAGTGCGCCGGTCCTTCCCCACGCTCAGCTTGCGGCACGAAGACGGGCTCTGACCTCGGGTGGAGCGTATACCTCCATTGTTCTTTTGTAAAACCATCCGCACTTTGCCGCGGCCGATGGCCGTAGGCAATTAGGAGTCATTGGGCGGTGTTGGGTGAAAGAGTGCAAAAGGGCGTGGCTGAAACACGTAGGGTGTGCCATCGGTGGAGACGGGTGGAGACGGCAAATGAATGTCCGTGACGATGACCGCGACCACCACCGGTGCGGTCCTGGAGCAGCGCGGCGACGACGACGGCAAGATGAGTCACGCCACGCACGGCCTCAGGTGTGAAGCTGGAGGAGGAGAAAGGCGGCGCCCCCACCACGCCCAACGCCGGGCAGGCAGGCCGGCCGGTGTCCAGGCCGTCCGCGGGGCGCAGGCAGGCGCAGTGCAGGCATGGCGTCATTGGACTGTCCACGAGACAGGACGCAGGACGGGCACGGAACGGCCATGGCTTCCGATTCATCCGCGCCGCGCCGTCCGTGCCTTTCAGCTTGCAGCGGCTGGACTCGGTCCAGTCCTGCCAGACGTTCCAGACGTGAACGTGACCCGGCGGCCGACACTCTCGGCCCGAGACGCGACCGCGGCGAGTGGAGGTGCCGCTACGCCCGCTACGCCCCGCCACGCCCCGCCACGCCAGGCCACGCCACCACGCCCTCCGACGCGCCGCTCCCCTTGTCCGTGGATCTGTTGACGGCGACGGCGACGGCCGGCCGAGGAGCCCAGACTGCCCCAGCCCGCGCGGGGACTCTTCTCTGCCGCTCGCAGCTCGCATCGCCCGGCGTCGCCATCGCCATCGCCCAGGCCGGACTTGATACGCGCGTCCCCGTCCCGTCCCCGCCAGCCTCGCCGCCAGCCCGGCCCGGGCTGTGCTCTGGTGCTCTGCATGCTCTGCATGCTCTGCATGCGCCCTCTGGTGATGCAACGCCGAGCTCGGGCTGTGCCGGCTGTGCCCCCGCCCCCAACCCTATCTTCGACGGCCCGTCTCGTCAGTCTCGTCATGGCCGCGGGCCCGGTGTAGCGTAGCACAGCGCAGCGCGGCGGAAGAAAGGGCAGTGTTGTGTACCGCGCCGCTCCACACCGCGCGTCCCGAACACGACGCGACCTAGACGGCCCGGCCCCAAGATAGTGATCCGCTTGGCGTGCTCCGCACCGCTCCACCGACTTGCGCACCGCCACGCGCACGGAGTGACTTCGTCGAACCAGTCGCGCAGCGGCGCGACGACCACAGACCATGAACTCGACCGTGTCCCTGGCGGGGCGCATCATGTCGTCCTCGCCGGTGTGCTCCATGATGAGGCTCGCCACGTTCGGCGCGCTGGCGTGCGCGCTGCAGTCCACCCCCGCGCCGCCCGCCACGCCCGCCACCACGCTGGCCAACCGCGGCCTGGACCCCGCGGACACGCTGGGGCCCGTCAGCATCGAGACCAACGAGATCCCCGGCGTGGGGGCGGGCAGGCCGTCCCTGCCGTACACGCCGAACTACGACCCGGACGTGGCGCTATCCACGGTAAGCGGCGGGTCACGCACCACACGCAGCACGTAGAGCCCTAGAGTAGCAGCACGCAGTGCGCTACACTGTAGTCCAGAAGGCCAGTCTAAGCACATGATGCCACATGTAGAGTTTTCTCGTTCGAGAGGCGATCCCACTTTTAACAGGTCTTCGAGGCACGGCGTTGGCGGCCCCGGTGAGCGTGCCGGGGACGAGGGAAGTACCACGAGCCGGCGACCGCCCCGGGCAGCCCCGGGGTTCTGGCCGGGCCGAGCGGCGCGGCGGGCGGGCGGTGGCGGGCGGTGGCCGGCGGCCGCAGTAGGGCACGTGAAAGTGCTGCCCACTGGCCTGCCCACCAATAACGAGGTGTAATACCGCCCTAAACACGGACCGCACGAGAGCGGAGCCAAGCGGAGCCAAGCGGAGCCAGGCGGAGCCAGGCGGAGCGCGCCGCGGTGCCCTCCTTGCCCGCCGCACAACCAACAGCTTTGTTCTCTCTGTGGAGGATGACGCCTCTGCGACACGCACGCGGCGCGCGGCTCACCGCGAATCGGGAAATGCTAATCGGGGCAGTCCGATGCGTGACGCGTCACGCGCGGGCCTGTTGCCTGGTGTACCCGAGGGTGTTGCCTGGTGTACCCGAGGGTGTAGGCTACCGATGCGCTGTGACTCACTCGCATGGGTCAGCGAGCGGCGGAGCGGTAACGATAAGGAATGACGAGGCCGAATGGACACGATCTTTGAGATGAGCGTCTCCCTCCAACGACAGAATAGGGAGCGCTAAACCATTATGATTTAAACTGTGCGGCCGAAAGATGATTCGCCCCGTCTCCTTCCGGGCCACAATACCAATCAGGAACAGGAGTCCATTTTGTGTTCCGTAAAAATTGGAGTGCCGGGAGCTCTGGGGTCCGGCCGGGCCGACGTGACCTCTCGTGCAGCGGCGGCGTGGTCGCGGTGCAGCGTCATTATTTCTGTTTTTACGCGTCGCCAGACGGTTCCCCGTTCACCCACCTCCGGAATGCGATGTGCCCCGCCGACAGCGCGCCGCGCCGCTCTGAGGCCAGGCCGCATGCCGCCCGCGCGTTCTGAGTCACTTGGGCCGCCTTGACGCCCCGACGCCCCGATGCGACGCCCAGTGTCGGGCTATGCCGCCACGACGGCCAGGCCGGGCCTCCAGACCCGCCAGACAGCCGCGCCGCTCGCGCCTCCCTGAACATGGCCGCCAGTAATTGTGTCTCGATGTGCTCCGTCTGGTCCGCAGCCGCAGCTGGTGTCGCTGCACGGGTATCCGTCGGAGAGCCACGTGGTGGTGACGGAGGACGGGTACCTGCTGACGCTGCACCGCATTCCCGGAGGACGCAATCACCGGGGACCCTCTGGCGGGGCCGCCGCCCGCCCCGTCGTCTTTCTGCAACACGGCCTGCTCGCCAGCTCGGCGGACTGGGTGCTCACGGGCCCGGGGAAGTCCCTCGGTGGGTAGTGGTTGACCACCACCAGTGGCAGCATCGCCAAAGCATCGCCGCGGCATGTAGTTTGCCCATTTGCCTGAACCGTGTTCTCGCCCTCCTGAACGAGCCGTGATGCTTCACAGCGTACATCCTGGCGGACAGCGGCTACGACGTGTGGATGGGCAACGCCAGAGGCAACACGTACTCCCGCGCCCACGTCTCCCTGTCCACGAAGGACTCGGCCTTCTGGAACTTCAGGCAAGTCCCGGATCCCGGTTGCCGTGCACGAGTGCCTCAGCTGGCTCGCAGTCGAAAACCCTTTACATCCTTGTTGCAGCTGGCATGAGATCGGCCACTACGACCTGCCGGCCGCCATCGACCACGTGCTGCAGGTGACGGGCCAGAAGAGCCTCTTTTACATCGGCCACTCGATGGGCACCACTACGTTCTACGTGATGCTGTCCACGCGGCCCGAGTACAACGACAAGGTGATGGCCGGCCTGCTGCTTGCTCCCGTCGTCTACCTGGGCAACTGCCGCTCCCCGATCCGCTACCTCGCGCCCTACGCCGACGACTACCAGTACCTGGCGCACCTATTCGGCGCGGACGAGTTCCTGCCGCAGAGCGGCGCCCTCCAGTTCTTCGCCAAGTACGGCTGCGAGCTGGCCATGTTCGAGCTCAAGCTCTGCGAGAACTCTATCTTTGTCATCTGTGGATTCGACAAGGACCAGTTCAACTCGGTAAGCGCACAGCAGGGAGGGTACTCGTTTGTGCGCTACATGTGGCGCCAGTTCTTCTCTCTGGGGGTAATCACCTCTCGAAACGACACCTTGGTTGCAGAGCATGCTGCCGGCGGTGCTGAGCCACACACCTGCCGGGACGTCGTCCAAGACCGTGACGCACTTCGCGCAGTCCATCCTGACGGGTAGGATACAGGCCGCGAGTCGAAAAAGTTGAGAACCGCTGGTCCAGGTCCCTAATTGAGCGGACCTTACGTTTCAGGGAAGTTCAAGCCGTTCGGAGCGACCCCAGAGACGCCCGAGTACGACCTCGGCAAAGTGACGGTGCCGACGGCGGCCTTCTACGCTGACAACGACCTGCTGTCCGACCCCGCGGTGAGTGAGAGTGAGGCCCTTGACGAGGCTGCCCTCGGCTGTCCTTGGTTGTCCTGGCCCCTTGACGGCCGACAAGCTTGTCCCAAGGCCTCCTACTGATGTCGCCCTGTCCCAACCCTTATCGCGCTGTCACCGTGTCGCAGGACGTGCAGCAGCTCTTCGACAAGGTGCCCATGAAGCTGGGCAAGTTCCGCGTGGCGCTGCCCTCCTTCAACCACCTGGACTTCCTGTGGGGCAAGAGCGCCAAGAAGCTCGTGTTCGACGACGTCCTGGCGGTGCTCGCCCGTTTCGGTCCCGAGACGATGCGCAACCGATCCATGGCCGTCCTGGCCTACTACCGCATGCTCGTGCAGCAGTCCGGGCGGAGGCCCGGCCCCGCGCCCAACCCGTGGCCCGCCCTTGGGCCCGCCCCCGCCTCGGACTCCAGCTCGACGCCCTTCAGCGACGAGGCGAGCGAAGTGACCAGCGAGGTGCCGAGCGAGTCGTCGACCGAATCGTCCAGCGAGTATCTGTGATCATCGTGGCGCTCCTGAGTGGCTACCCTCTATGGACGCTTTTAAGTGACGGGGCAAGCCAACTAGATAAGACGAGTTTCGAGTAACTGGGACAGGCTTGGTCTCAAAGTCTACCATAGGACTCTAAAGGCCTTGCCTCAGCCTCAGCCCGCGGCTGAAGTGTCGCACATCCATCCCCGAGATACGAGTTTCAAACATCTCCCTTCACGAAGTTTTCTTTCCTTGTCATTCTTTCGGTCCTCCGGTGTTAAACTCCGACCGAGTTTCCACAGCAATGCGGTGAAGCTGTCAATTAGGTGGCGTATCTCCCTAGCGCCATCGTGCATCGTCCCAGCTCAGGCGCCGCCGGAAGGGTAGGCCACCCAGTGCGCACATCCCATTCCCTCTACTGGGACGGACTCGCTGAGGACAGCTCGCCCACGATACTAGGTGTGAGAAGAAGATTTGTCTCCCTTTGCTTTGCCATAAATCACATTTGCAACAAAGGATATCTTGCTTCCCCCTTCAATACTTAGAGTGTGACTGATCATTAAAACACACATTCTTCATCAAAACATTTTTATTTGTTTTCCTTGGAAATTAATTTTTAAGAACCCACACAGAGGTTTAACATCAACAAATATACTTTTATAGTCTATTAACATTCCCTAATATTAGCAATGGTAGCATACTGATTCCAAATTATAAATACAAAATTAATATTATAACAATGAATATTAATACATTGTTAGCTCAACAAGTTTAACTAGTTAAACAGAAGTACTCTTCAATAACATTATTTTGATTGTTGAATTTTAAAATACATTTTGTTGCATCCAAGACATAAAAGGATAGGATAAACCACACTCAATAGAGATCACAGAAGTATCACGAAATTCTATTGGCAGCACGCAGACTGAGTGACTACAAAATTTCAAGAAATGTACCTGGTAGTTTCATTCTCTAGGGGACAAGGTGTCACGCCTCAGTAATTGAATTTTGAAAACTGTTTTCACATGTACACATAAATTAGTGTCATATAAAATTCCTGACATTTTCAATTTAATCTAAAATTGGTCTTGATAAGCACTGGCATTATGTAAATAGAAAAACTTTTAAGGTCCTAATAAACACATACTGACTGAAAAGTTAGTCAAAGTCAAAACATAAAGAGACTTAAGAGGAAAAGCTGCCAGAATTGTATTTTTTCCGTCCTGACAAAATTTTATGGGCTATGACACACTGTAAACACCAGCAAACAAAGTCTCAACAGTAATTTTGTTCTTCATGTACAGGACCCATCTGTTTTCGCCATAGTCTCGTAGCCAACCCCGAGTAGTAGGGTAGGTAGGCCAGTCTTTTTCTTCTTCCTCCAGTTTGACCACCTCTAAAAGGTCATATCCTGTTGTAACTGCACTTTCTCCTGGTGCAATGCCTAAGGTCATGTGGGCTCTGCTGCCTCGGCCCGAAACTGGATGAAAATCCGGATCCTCTTCTGATTTTGTGGTCAAGTAGACCAGCGAGGCTTGGCTATTTGGAAAATAACGAGCTGACTTTTTTTTCATGGGCAACTTACTGTCTGTTGTTGCAAGATTATTTGAATCACATTGAATAGAGTGATGAGCCATTGCTGAATTTAAGGATGATACTCGGTCATCTTCATTGGACCTTGCAATTTCATTTTTCAGAACTGTTTTCATTTTAGCCTTTCCATCGTCATCTCCACCCCAGAGTTTTAGTTGTTCTTGGGAAAGTTTTAGACGTGCTCCAAAAGTGCGAGGTGTAAAAACTATGCCAATGACTGTTGTTTCAAAATTCATTGTTATGTTTCCTTTCACCTCTCTAAAATATTCCTTGGAAGATTCATCAGGGCTGCTGCCAAAATATTTAGCTGTGCAATGAAGCATTCCATTATGATTTGAATCAGCCAACTGATAAAACTTCAGCATTTCTGAAAAAGAAGGCTACTTTTATATTATGTAGGTTTAAAGTAGGAGAAAGCATCATATTTTAAAAATATTACCTGGGATGGTTTCGCCCTGACTGTAATTTCGGAAATCAGAACAAAACTCTGGTACAGTTTTAAGGAGATCTTCAAGGAGGGCATGTGCACACAAACCAAGCATACAGGAATCAGCTTCATTAAGATGCCAGCCAATGTAATCTGGCAAAAGGTTCTGCAAACAAAGCAGTAAAGGACAGTGATGAGAACTTGTGATGACCTTTTCATGAGCAATAAAAATGTTTGCGCCATTGAAAAACTGTACCTCAGGACCGTTCACTACGGATACAATATAATTCTGATCTCTTGCTATTTGGGTATAAGGCTGCATGTCGGGAGGATCTGACGATTCAAAATTTCCAACACTGATGGCAACAACATGCTGGTCCCTAGTACATGCAGCCTGTACATCAGCTATCCGTTTGCTGAACAATCAACAAAAAACAAAACAGGTAAGCGATTTTTTTTAAAACACAAATTTGAAAGTGTAAATACATTAAACTCGTACCTAACATCTTCATCTGAAACACAAGTAGCATTAAGACCATAAGTGTCTTGGATTTTCCGGAAAATATTTTCTTCCTTATTAGAAATTAAGACCATCAGTTTTGACGATTCCACATAGTTGATGGCATCCGAATCACTCAAAAATGGGAGTTCTGGAGAATTATGGTCCGACATTGTGTTGAGATAAACTCCAGTGCACTGCATAACAAAGATGAAAACAGACATTGAACACTATCTCACACAAAACATCATGTGTCAAAGCAATGCATGATACAAATAAAAAAAACCAAAGAGGCCAACGAAAAAACCAAAACAATGATAACTACCACAGAAATTATTAGTACCCCTATCAAAATAATAATGAAAGCTGTCAAACATCGTCGTCGTTCAAACATGGTTAGGAGTCAAGTGATTCGCGTTCACTTTATCAGCACAGATAAAGATTACGGCGTGTACCTGATCGGGCAATCAATCGACGATCCCCACTAACCTATTCCGTTGTCAGCAGCTGCAGCTGAGCAACAGTTCTATTTACAAATACCGGAAGCCAAGCAGACGCCACCGTTGTCAATTTCTCCCTTCCGCCACTCTTCTCAGTCCGCGCCAAACGCGGGCCTTTCAAAAAGCTATCTCTGGCAAAGGGGCATTTGGAAGAAAAAAAAAGAAAGAAAAAAAAACAGCGAGGGCAAGCTTAGCTTAGAGCCGAAGGCCAAAGGGATAATGTTGGGCTTTAGCTTCCAAGCGGTCCTTAGTAACAGACGGGGCTGTTCATTAGACCTACCTCACAGTTGACATATAAATATTTGAATAAAAATAGGGACTATAAATAATAGTGTTATAAATATTAACAAAAAAGGTTGACCTACCCCACAGTTGACCTACCCTATATTTTTATTATAAATTTTTTTGAAGTATCGTCTACTGTCACTGGGACACTGTCACGCTTCACCTGCCGCGACGTCATCGCGCTTCCCCTGCCGCGACACTGTCGCTCTTCCCCTGCCGCGACACTGTCGCGCTTCCCCTGCTGCGAGGCCGTCGCGCTTCCCCTGCCGCGACACTGTCGCGCTTCCCCTGCCGCGACACTGTCGCGCTTCCTTAGCCGCGACACTGTCGCGCTTCCCCTGCCGCGACACTGTCGCGCTTCCCCTGCCGCGACACTGTCGCGCTTCCCCTGCCGCGACACTGTCGCGCTTCCCCTGCCGCGAGGCCGTCGCGCTTCCCCTGCCACGAGGCCGTCGCGCTTCCCCTGCCGCGACACTGTCGCGCTTCCCTGCCGCGACACTGTCGCGCTTCCCCTGCCGCGACACTGTCGCGCTTCCCCTGCCGCGACACTGTCGCGCTTCCCCTGCCGCGACACTGTCGCGCTTCCTTTGCCGCGACACTGTCGCGCTTCCCCTGCCGCGAGGCCGTCGCGCTTCCCCTGCCGCGAGCAAGGGCGCCGGAAGTGAGGTGGGGGAGGGGGGGGGGGGTGACTTGCCCCCCCCCCAAATCTGGTGGGGGGGCATCGCCCCCCCCACTTTCAGACACTAAAGTGCCATTTTGAGCTCGAAATAGAGAGAAAAATATAGCAAAGTCACAAATTCTTTGATTTTTGGCTTCTTGCTCGCTTCGCTCGCAGGTTTTCTTAATTTTCCTCCATTATTTTGCCGTTTGGCTCGCTTCGCCCACCAAAAGTTGTGTTAAAGTCTAGAATTGTGTGAATTTTCGCTTTAAGCTTGCTTCGCTCGCTGGATTTGGAACACTATTAGAGAAGTCCAAACCGTATTGGGTGTTGCCCCTTAACGGTAGGCAACCCAACAATTTTTCATAAAAATTTTGCCCCCCCCCCCACCAGAAAGTACTTTTGGCGGCCCTGGACGCTGGCACAGCCTCGCTGTTTGACGCTGGCACAGCCTCGCTGTTTGACGCTGGCACAGCCTCGCTGTGTGAGGCTGGCACAGCCTCGCTGTTTGACGCTGGCACAGCCTCGCTGTTTGACGCTGGCACAGCCTCGCTGTGTGAGGCTGGCACAGCCTCGCTGTTTGACGCTAGGACAGCCTCGCTGTTTGACGCTGGCACAGCCTCGCTGTTTGACGCTGGCACAGCCTCGCTGTTTGACGCTGGCACAGCCCCGCTGTTTGACGCTGGCACAGCCCCGCTGTGTGAGGCTGGCACAGCCTCGCTGTTCGACGCTGGCACAGCCTCGCTGTTCGACGCTGGCACAGCCTCGCTGTTCGACGCTGGCAGAGCCTCGCTGTGTGAGGCTGGCACAGCCTCCCTGTGTGAGGCTGGCACAGCCTCGCTGTGTGAGGCTGGCACAGCCTCGCTGTTTGACGCTGGCACAGCCTCGCTGTTTGACGCTGGCACAGCCTCGCTGTTTGACGCTGGCACAGCCTCGCTGTGTGAGGCTGGCACAGCCTCGCTGTGTGAGGCTGGCACAGCCTCGCTGTGTGAGGCTGGCACAGCCTCGCTGTTTGACGCTGGCACAGCCTCGCTGTTTGACGCTGGCACAGCCTCGCTGTTTGACGCTGGCACAGCCTCGCTGTTCGACGCTGGCACAGCCTCGCTGTTCGACGCTGGCACAGCCTCGCTGTTCGACGCTGGCAGAGCCTCGCTGTGTGAGGCTGGCACAGCCTCCCTGTGTGAGGCTGGCACAGCCTCGCTGTGTGAGGCTGGCACAGCCTCGCTGTTTGACGCTGGCACAGCCTCGCTGTTTGACGCTGGCACAGCCTCGCTGTTTGACGCTGGCACAGCCTCGCTGTGTGAGGCTGGCACAGCCTCGCTGTGTGAGGCTGGCACAGCCTCGCTGTGTGAGGCTGGCACAGCCTCGCTGTGTGAGGCTGGCACAGCCTCGCTGTTTGACGCTGGCACAGCCTCGCTGTTTGACGCTGGCACAGCCTCGCTGTTTGACGCTGGCACAGCCCCGCTGTTTGACGCTAGCACAGCCTCGCTGTTTGACGCTGGCACAGCCTCGCTGTTTGACGCTGGCACAGCCTCGCTGTTTGACGCTGGCACAGCCTCGCTGTGTGAGGCTGGCACAGCCTCGCTGTGTGAGGCTGGCACAGCCTCGCTGTTTGACGCTGGCACAGCCTCGCTGTTTGACGCTGGCACAGCCTCGCTTTTTGACGCTGGCACAGCCTCGCTGTTTGACGCTGGCACAGCCTCGCTGTTTGACGCTGGCACAGCCTCGCTGTGTGAGGCTGGCACAGCCTCGCAGTTTGACGCTGGCACAGCCTCGCTTTTTGACGCTGGCACAGCCTCGCTGTTTGACGCTGGCACAGCCTCGCTGTTTGACGCTGGCAGAGCCTCGCTGTGTGAGGCTGGCACAGCCTCGCTGTGTGAGGCTGGCACAGCCTCGCTGTTTGACGCTGGCACAGCCTCGCTGTTTGACGCTGGCACAGCCTCGCTCTTTGACGCTGGCACAGCCTCGCTGTTTGACGCTGGCACAGCCTCGCTGTGTGAGGCTGGCACAGCCTCGCTGTTTGACGCTGGCACAGCCTCGCTGTTTGACGCTGGCACAGCCTCGCAGTTTGACGCTGGCACAGCCTCGCTGTTTGACGCTGGCACAGCCCCGCTGTTTGACGCTGGCACAGCCCCGCTGTGTGAGGCTGGCACAGCCTCGCTGTTTGACGCTGGCACAGCCTCGCTGTTTGACGCTGGCACAGCCTCGCTGTTTGACGCTGGCACAGCCTCGCTGTGTGAGGCTGGCACAGCCTCGCTGCTTGACGCTAGGACAGCCTCGCTGTTTGACGCTGGCACAGCCTCGCTGTTTGACGCTGGCACAGCCTCGCTGTTTGACGCTGGCACAGCCCCGCTGTTTGACGCTGGCACAGCCCCGCTGTGTGAGGCTGGCACAGCCTCGCTGTGTGAGGCTGGCACAGCCTCGCTGTGTGAGGCTGGCACAGCCTCGCTGTGTGAGGCTGGCACAGCCTCGCTGTGTGAGGCTGGCACAGCCTCGCTGTGTGAGGCTGGCACAGCCTCGCTGTTTGACGCTGGCACAGCCTCGCTGTTTGACGCTGGCACAGCCCCGCTGTTTGACGCTGGCACAGCCCCGCTGTGTGAGGCTGGCACAGCCTCGCTGTTTGACGCTGGCACAGCCTCGCTGTTTGACGCTGGCACAGCCTCGCTGTTTGACGCTGGCACAGCCTCGCTGTGTGAGGCTGGCACAGCCTCGCTGTGTGAGGCTGGCACAGCCTCGCTGTGTGAGGCTGGCACAGCCTCGCTGTGTGAGGCTGGCACAGCCTCGCTGTGTGAGGCTGGCACAGCCTCGCTGTATGACGCTGGCACAGCCTCGCTGTGCGAGGCTGGCACAGCCTCGCTGTTTGACGCTGGCACAGCCTCGCTGTGTGAGGCTGGCACAGCCTCGCAGTTTGACGCTGGCACAGCCTCGCTGTTTGACGCTGGCACAGCCTCGCTGTTTGACGCTGGCAGAGCCTCGCTGTGTGAGGCTGGCACAGCCTCGCTGTGTGAGGCTGGCACAGCCTCGCTGTTTGACGCTGGCACAGCCTCGCTGTTTGACGCTGGCACAGCCTCGCTGTTTGACGCTGGCACAGCCTCGCTGTTTGACGCTGGCACAGCCTCGCTGTTTGACGCTGGCACAGCCTCGCTGTTTGACGCTGGCACAGCCTCGCTGTGTGAGGCTGGCACAGCCTCGCTGTGTGAGGCTGGCACAGCCTCGCTGTTTGACGCTGGCACAGCCTCGCAGTTTGACGCTGGCACAGCCTCGCTGTTTGACGCTGGCACAGCCCCGCTGTTTGACGCTGGCACAGCCCGCTGTGTGAGGCTGGCACAGCCTCGCTGTTTGACGCTGGCACAGCCTCGCTGTTTGACGCTGGCACAGCCTCGCTGTTTGACACTGGCACAGCCTCGCTGTGTGAGGCTGGCACAGCCTCGCTGCTTGACGCTAGGACAGCCTCGCTGTTTGACGCTGGCACAGCCTCGCTGTTTGACGCTGGCACAGCCTCGCTGTTTGACGCTGGCACAGCCCCGCTGTTTGACGCTGGCACAGCTCCGCTGTGTGAGGCTGGCACAGCCTCGCTGTTTGACGCTGGCACAGCCTCGCTGTTTGACGCTGGCACAGCCTCGCTGTTTTAAGCTGGCACAGCCTCGCTGTGTGAGGCTGGCACAGCCTCGCTGTTTGACGCTGGCACAGCCTCGCTGTGTGAGGCTGGCACAGCCTCGCTGTTTGACGCTGGCACAGCCTCGCTGTTTGACGCTGGCACAGCCTCGCTGTGTGAGGCTGGCACAGCCTCGCTGTTTGACGCTGGCACAGCCTCGCTGTGTGAGGCTGGCACAGCCTCGCTGTTTGACGCTGGCACAGCCTCGCTATTTGACGCTGGCACAGCCTCGCAGTTTGACGCTGGCACAGCCTCGCTTTTTGACGCTGGCACAGCCTCGCTGTTTGACGCTGGCACAGCCTCGCTGTGTGAGGCTGGCACAGCCTCGCTGTTTGACGCTGGCACAGCCTCGCTGTTTGACGCTGGCACAGCCTCGCTGTTTGACGCTGGCACAGCCTCGCTGTTTGACGCTGGCACAGCCTCGCTGTGTGAGGCTGGCACAGCCTCGCTGTTTGACGCTGGCACAGCCTCGCTGTTTGACGCTGGCACAGCCTCGCTGTGTGAGGCTGGC